AGAAATGTAGCAAATTGGTAGTACATAAAAGGGCTTTAATTCAAACATTTCAAATAAAAATAGATAATGAACCGTTTAATAAACTCATCAAGTTGAATAGCATATAATGGAATAGAATAGAATAGGAACTCCCATTATTGTCCCACAATAGGTAAATTCTTGTGTTTATAGCAGCAAAACGATTATAGAAAAAAATGGTCACACAAATGTGGACCTTAGAAAAAATGAATAAGAATAACATAATAGTGAAGAGATAAAAGATAAACAATAAATTACTGTACTGTAAAGTGTTTTAACAATATAAAAACTGCACCTGAAGAATACATAAACATTATACAGCTAAGGACATTTTTCCAGTGATGGATATTTGAAAATAGCAGCAACATCAGAGATGTGCAAAATGACAGCAGCATGTTATTCAACTGACTAAGGTAGAAACTATGAAAAATCAGCATGAATGTAAAAACTTATTGCAGCTGCTGGGAGGAAAATCTGTGATAACGCTCGCTGGTGCATTTAAGGTGCAGCAGTCTGTCACTGAAGGAGCTCTCCAGTTCTGAAACAGCTTCATGCATGGGGTGGGAAACATTATCCAACAGAGATGTTAATTGGTTCTATTAGAATTATTAGTTATTGAATTGGTTCCAGGGGGAGGGAGAGGGACATTCAAATACATAAATAGCATAAATGACTCATCATAAGGCCGGACATCCACATTATGTTTTCCATCGTTGTACTCAGTTGCAGCTCAAACGGCAGGGTTTAAAAGTTCACAGCTCACGATGTTCTTCCACTGTACAGCCCAATGCTCTGATGCGATTTACCTGCTCAAACTGTACGTCCAGAAACCATGCGAGAGATGGCGCTGGTCAGACTCCTCAATCTGCTAGAAGAAGAAAAAGAACTCCCTGGTTTCACATGCTCAGTGCGTGAGGTTCTGGTAAATCGGCCTGTAGCCCTGCTTCAGCAACGCCTCAGGAGGGCTGACTGAATTTCCAACATGTTTGATTTTCCCCAGAACTTACGATTCCTGATTGGGAGGTGGTCATTAGAGGCTGATCGCCCCTCGTTACCACCTGTATAGTACACGACGCAGGACGCACCATGAGGATGAAACTCGGCCCGATCGAAAAATTCTCGCATGACTGCAGAATCTGCTCGAAAAGGGCAAAAACCCGTACAGCGTATGCCTGTGTATGTATAAACAAGCAGGCTGCTCGGTGGTGTGGTGGGTAGCACCACTGCCTCACAGCAAGAAGGTTCTTGGTTTGAGTCCCCGTGGAACCAGGACCTTTCTGTTTAGTGTCTGAGTGGGTTTTCTCTGGCTTCCTCCCACAGTCCCTAAACCTGCATGTTGGGCTGATTGAACATTCCAAATGATGCTTAGGATACTGTGATAGGCCTCAGTCCCCCCCGCAACGTTTTTAGGGAATTATGTGGTTACGCTACTGGATGGATGGATTTTATAAACAGAAGATGAAAAGCAAAAAAAACATGAGGTCATCAGAAAAACTGGAGATTAACAGGAATGAAGGTCTAAGTCTGTTGATGAACAGATTGGCTCCAACTAGAAACTCAGTTCTTCAAAAGCTTGTTTGGAGCCGTTTTTCATCTATTTACAATTTTTTTTCCCTTTTGTGGTGAAACGTCTAAAAAATAAGAAATTTTCTTCCATTCTATAAATATTATTTCCCACTCCTTTTTCTCCTTACATAAGCACAAAAGCGTCACTTCAGAACATAACAGAAGCTGATCAAAACCTACAGAGAAAAATAATTTTTTTCTTTTCTGGAAGAGTAGTTTGTCAGATTTAAGCTAACTATGGACGAACATCAATCAGTCTTCAGCTTTCCTGAAGATCGAAACCAAATCATACAAACAACAGCTTCAGGAATACCTTCAAATTTGATTTGAAATACGTTTTCATCTTTGTGTCATGAATGCATCATTTCAGGAAAACCTTCTGCTTCGACTGCTAACATGCTAATTAGAATAGAAAATCTCTTTATTGTCCCACAGTTGGGAAACTAGAGAGAAATTATAACTAAAGGATCACACTACTAAAGACATTAGAAAGTGTAAAGTGTTAAAAAGGGTTAGAAATAAATAAATAATGAATCACCAAAATATTTAGCTGTGGACGTTTTTTACAGGAGGTGGATGTAAGAAACAGCCGATGTGCAAACCTGCTTTGCTTGGTGTGGTATTGATTAACATGATGATGATTATGATGGCGGTGAATGGATCCATATAAAGGACATTCTTAGCAGTAATGCAGGTCAGTTTCCCTGCAGCCGATGGATCAGAGCTACGTGGTGGCTCAGTGAAGCCGGTCCGATCGGTTCAGTTTGGCTCCGTCTGTCCTCCGTTACATCAAAGCTCATCTACGTTAGGCTGTGGGAGTGTTGAAGGTTTAAGATAACAGAAAGTATCCAGTTAGAAAGAAAAGACTCCTGTTTCCTAGATATCCTTATTTCCTTGTCAGAATGTATTGCTTCTTTTATTGCAAAAAATAAATAAAACTTTATTATCATTTGCTAATTAGAGCCCAGTCCTTTTAATGGTCCTATTGTCCCTACCTTGTGTTTCTGGTAAACTGTTGGTTCTGTGATAGCGCCTTATTGTTTTATAGAGATTAAAGCAGATATTTATGCTCCTCTCTGGCCTGAAGCGACTCCTAGTTTGAGTGTTTTAATCCAGCTGGAAGCAGCTTTATGCATTTAGACTCTTAGCGCTGTCTACTGGAAGGAACAGAATGTTCTGATGGTTTGGGCCACCGTCCGAACCCAGAACCACCTTCTGTAGATTTGTTCCTGTTTTTGTAACAGAGGCTCCTGCTGTTGTTCTGACCCACCATAAACAAAAAGTGTGCTGAAGGTCTCTGCTGAGTTATTAAAAGATGCTCCAGCTTCTGGCACATTTCTAGGCCAGGAGGGTCCTGCTGTTTACAAACACTCATTTGGATTAGAAGGATGTTTCCTTGCTAGATGTGTTGGATCTGCGATGCTGTTCCCTGAGAACCAGAGCTCCAATTGACTTCAGCTGTGATGCGCAGCGTTCAAGTACCGCTGATATGAATAACGACCCTAACTTCTATTTAAATGACCACAAAGTCAGCAGGAGTGAGAGACGGTGCAAAAAAGCAACATGTATGGAGCTAATTTTGTTCCATTGTTGTTGAAAACTAAGAGCATGTTTTGTATATGGAAAATTAAGAGAAATGCAATCCACAAAAGGAAAGTTATTATTCAATTATTATTAGATTTATTTTTCATATTTTATTGAAAAAACAATACAGATTTTTTTTTTCCAATTAATTTTTTTCAAAAAAATGTTTAAAAGATTTAATATTTCCTAAGATATTGGTATTAACACTGTTCTTGTTTTAGAAAAAGAAAAAAGTGAATTTTGCAAATAAAAAAAAAACAAGAAAAACCAGAAAATGTTTCCAGATTACATCCTCCTATTGGTCCGCTGGACATTAGCAACATTTTCATTGGTCAAGCAGCTGAAGACACTGTGAAACACAATTTGAAAAAAAGTAAATAAATGAATAAATATTCCATAAAATAAACTTTTGAAAAAAAGAAATTCTAATTTGAAAAAAGAAGACTTGAAACTTTTTGAAATTTTACTCTCAAATCCTTTTTTTCAATTAAAACCTTTTTCAGGGTTAGATTTCTGCGTTGTTGTTTTTTTTTTCATTTCCATTTCTTTGCTTAGAATAATAATGGAACAAAATTCTCTCCTTATTTTCTAACTTTATTTCATTTCTATTACTTTAGTTTTTCCTCTGTACAAAGCACAATACTCATAGTTTTATCTGTTGCCATGGCGATGAATGCTCTCTTTTCCAGAGGTTGTTGATTAGCTGTATTATTACATAAAAGGCCTGAAAAAGCTATCTACCTTTTGAGCATCTAGTCTTTTAATGACTTCCTGCCTGAACAAGCTGCTCCACTCCAGATGGACGTGGCATCGGTGCGGCGAGCGGTAAAGGTAGAAGCGGCGTGCGCCACCAGCGGAAACTATAGAGGAAAACCAGAGTATATTTGCAATGAAATAAAGTTAGGAAACCAGACCAAAAAGTTTTGGAAGTTAAATTTTAAGCTTTAAGGATCATGAGATCTCATAAACTTTTGTGTTTAAAAAAAAAAAAAACGGCTCTGATGGTTGATTTTCTAAAAGCCACCACAGTGAGTTTTAGAAATAAAGCCCAAAGTCTGGTAGAAGTAAGGTAAAGCGAGTTAAAAAATGACTTTTTATTTTGGTGCAAATGTTTAGATAATCCTCCGCTTATCGGCTCTTGGCTCTGTGTGGTCTGTCTGCCCTCATTTCCGGGACTGAGTATGAGGAGTTTTCCTTCTTTCTGATGACCACTCGACCTGATCTACTGCCTTTCATTGACCAGGAAAACCTTCTAACCTGTAAAATTAACAAACTCATCCTGACCCACATTGTTTGATAACTGCAATCAAACTGGAAAGAATACCTTTGGGTTTGAGGCCATTAGTAACTGAATCATGTATTTCTATTGATTAAATGATCGCAGTGATTAAAGTGCAACCTTTTATTCAGAAACACAAATGGTCTGTAGACCTCGCAGGCTGTGGCTCTGTGAGGTCGGCCTGCTGGGTGGATTAGGCTGCAAAGTCAATAGCAGGTGAGAGTCTGTGAATTTTATGAATGGTAGCTTGCTTTAGGTGATAGTGGGTTTTTTATAGCCAAGCAAACTGTAGAGTTTGGGAACAAACGGCTGTTTCTCAGGGTGGTAGGGAGAGTTGTGGCGAGGACGCCTTCCAGATGGCGCTGGAAGGGGGAACAGCGTTGCTTTCCCGACCACACGGTGGCCGTCCGGTTCTGCAGGATGATTTACGGAGGGATCAGTTGAACAAAGAAAGGGAGATGAAGTCCATTAACGAAGCTCTTGGTGCACAGTGACGCCAATCAGCATGAACATGCTAATGCCTGTGATGTAATCATTTCCTCTCTTTTCACAGGATTTTTTTCCTTCGGGGGGAACCGAGGAGGAGGTGGGCAGCTGCTCCTTCCTAGGTTTTTTCAATAAAGCGCTGAGGCCAGGTGAGGGCGGATGGGACTTCCCAGACTTCAGAAAAGGCCCGGTTGGCAGAGGGAGTGAGTATGGACAACCTTTCAGACTTCAGCGGGCCGTGTCCATCCACCCTTAGGGAATGGGAGTGAGTATAAACCAAACATCTCTGTGATCCACCTGTAGAACCATATGATCATGACTGAAGGGGTTTAGGTGCAAAGTTTATTTTGGGATTTAATATTTAAGGAAACAAGTTTCCAGAAGTTTTCGTTTGTTTTGGATCAGAACGAAGAACCAGTGAGAATTAAAGTCCCTTTAACTCAGAGCGACTCACTGCTGATTAATTCCCCTTTTGCATGTTTCTATTAGTGACTGTTACCTGGAGCTGATACTGTTTTTTTTTACAGCTGAATCAATTAATCGATTATTGAAATAATCAACTAATTCAGTAATTATTGGATTAATCATTAACTAGAGTATAGAGACTGTAAAACATGCCTTTAGGTTACAGAGCATTTTGCATTTAACATGAAAAAAAATTCATCTGTCAATCTGCTCTATCCAGAACTCCTCAGTGGAAAAGTTTTAGTTTCACCTGATTTAATTTTACAAAAAGAGTTATTTAAGGAACCTTTGGCTATCTGATTATTAATCGATTAATCAAAAAAATAATCGAAAGATTGATAAGAAAAATAATTGTTAGTTGCAGCTCTAATATTTTTAGATCTTTTCTGTTTGTGGTTCAAAGTCGCACCAAAAACATCAGAGACCCACCGATCAGTTAGGGGGCGAAGTCACTATCCACAGCTTATTTTAATTACTGATACCTTCACACATTTAATTGTTTTATGCTGGGCTTATTTTGCATAGAAGCACCATTATAGTGAGCTAGCAGCAGTTTTAGCTTATCTTCATCTCTGTTTTAGCTTCTATTAATTAAACTGAATTGGACTGAACTGATAGATAAATCCCCAATGGAAAGGAGGCATTAAGGTTTGAAAGAGTCCAGGATTCTGCTTAATTCAGAGGGCCCCGCAGCATGACCGATCCTCCATCGTACTAAGCATTGTAACCAAAAGTCCTTACTGTAATGCACTCCTTCCCACGCTGACATCACAGGACGGGCTGAGTTTCAGAGCGTGTGGCGAGGATGGAGGCACGGAAAGCCCTTTAACTGAAGCACAACACTTATCCAAACAAAGAAAACATTTCAGAAATGGAAAATCTGATAAACTGAAATCCAGAAATTAAACCAAAATTACAACATTAATCCAAAAAAAGGTTTTAAGAATTGGGCTGCCATTGTGCAGCAGTGTGGAGTTTGCTCAGTCCATGGGAGTGGGGCGCAAACTCAGAACCTCAGGATTCCAAGTGTAATACCCTGACTACTAGGCCGCCACGCTACATTTCAAATTGTTCTTTTTCCGATTGATTTTTATAAATATAATTATTTTCGAAGAGCGTTTGCCAGATCACACTTCAGGGGGTGGGTTTTATTCTGAGGGTGGAGCAGAGATGCTTTCTATTGGTCGGCTGGATGTTAGCAACATTATTATTGGTCTATAAGGAATGTTTGAATCGGGCTGTAAGTGAAGAAAATGTCATCCATTCAGTTTGCAGTTTAAAAAGAATGGAATTTTTAAAACTAAAAAATAATTTAAAAAAATGTAATATGAAAAGATATCGAATAAAAAAAATATTTGGAAAAATAAAATCTAAGTAAACAGCAAAGCTCTTCTCAAAACCTGCTTTTGATCACAAAGTTTTTCAACGTTTCTTTTTTTTAATTACATTTTTTTCCTCAAATTTCCATTTTTCTTTTGCTATAGTTCGGGTTGAGCTTTTGGTTCGGACGTTTTTTTGGATGGCTGCGCTCTCATCTGACCCCCGTTAGACTTTAGAAAGCTCCACATGTCTGTTGGATTAGGACGCAGCTGTTCTGTCAATGCAGGAGAAATATCTGAATGGCTGCTTTAAAGCTCCTGCTGTGGATGCTATTCAGTCCTAGCGCCACTGATTTTATTCTAGATTATTATTTTCCATCTTGGCACCGATTCATAAAATCCATTGGCTTGTTTTTTTATGCTTTCTGGTGACTTTATGTTGCTGTGATAAATGAAAGATTCATCTCAAACCTTGTTGCTCGTCTTCACCAGGGATTGAAAAAATGTGGAGGGTTACTGAGCAGTTTTTATTCCAGATTACAGTTTGAGATTACAAACAAATTAGCTCTGTTACCAGATCAAGCTAACAGAGAAACTGGAGATTTTACCCTTCTCTCTGACCCTCATTTCACATTTTCTGCATCTTTCATCACTTTTTAAAGAATGATGTTTAATTATATTTATCTGGGTAACATTTTATTCTACTGCTAAATGTTGCTTGTTAAAAGGTCAGATATTCTGTGATACCCATCAGCTTGACACCTTCTTCCTTGTGCTTTCAGTACCAACAGCTGTGTGGAGGACTTAATGGATGAAGATGAGAAGGACAAAGCAAAAAGGTAATCATCCTGCCTTACATTTGCTGTTAAACCTGTTACTCTGGTTCCACTGATCATCCCAGTTTTATGGGAAAATCAACTTCTCAACCTCTGTATTGATCCAACGGCTCTAATATGAGACAATCATCTGCTTAGAGGGACCAGAGGTGGTAACTAAGTCACATTAGGGTTCATTTACTCTTCAGGAAAATAAGAAACGACATTCAGAAAAAAGCAGGATTGTTCTGAGAAGGAAAAGTTACAAATTCCTTCAGATTCCTGAATAAAGCCAAACTGTTGGAGCGTGACGACCGGATAATCTGAAGCAAATTATCTACACAGCTGTTCAAACACATGAAGAAGAAGTTAAACATTAGCACTGAAAGAAAACAAACCTGAAGCTGCCAGAAGCTTTTCACACTCAAAAAAAAAGTACACAGTACCAAGAAAAATATGCAAATTATTTTATTCAAAAAGCCACATTATTAGAAAATATCATAAGAGGAACAATATATTTAAGAAATATTATAATGACTGTGTTTTTTTTATTGATATGTAGAATTGAATAACCTAAAATGAAATGTCTAAGGATTGTTTTTTTTTTTTCATTAGAATTTCCTTGGATATCAGATTATTCTGTGAAACGTTGTTAGAATTAATAGAGCTGAGGAAAGTCAGTTACATCGCTCTTATGCTGCCATTTCTTTCTTGCATCCTCTTTATTCTGCAGAGCATCTCGCAACAAATCTGAAAAGAAAAGAAGAGACCAGTTCAATGTGCTCATCAAGGAGCTGTGCACGATGCTGCAGGGCCAGGGCCATCCGCGCAAGATGGACAAGTCCACCATCCTGCAGAGGACCATTGACTTCCTGCAGAAGCAGAAAGGTCTGCACATTCAGACACCTGTGGATCATTTCAGCCACTTTCTTAAGCTTCATCTCTGACTCTGAGTCGTCCTCCAATCTTTTGCAGACATCACTGCGCAGAACGAAGTCTGTGACGTGAAGCAGGACTGGAAGCCCTCGTTACTCAGTAACGAAGAGTTTACTCAGCTCATGTTGGAGGTAAAGCTTATCAGGATGTTTGAATCTTTACCAATCCGAAATATTATGTTAAATTAACAGGAATGTAACATCGATTTGTTTGCTTCTCACAGGCCCTGGATGGTTTCCTGATTGCATTAACGACGGATGGAAACATCATCTATGTGTCTGACAGCGTGTCCTCTCTAATTGGACATTTACCGGTGAGTCGAAGTAGCCAGTTAGGTTTTAATCACCACTTAATATTATAAATATTGTGTCTGATTCTGTGTCTTGAATAATAAAAAAAAAGATATTTTATTGTTTTCTTGTTCATCCGAAATAGAAAAATGTTTTCCTGCCGAGTATTTTTGGTAATAATGGAGACAAACATATGGTAGACGGAGATAAATTAGTAAGTAATTAGTAATAAACAGAGGAAAACATGTAGGAATGTCATGAGGATAGAGAAGGATTGTGAAACTGGTGGCTTATTATACATTATTACCAGTCATCTGATGCTTTCGCTGAACGCAGAGAGGGGCGTTCAGGACTGAGGCCATATCAGGACTACAAGAGAAAACTCAGCTTTAAAAGAAAAATGACTCTTTTCAGGTAATTGTTAGTCGATGAATAAGATCATCGGCTTTAGATGAATTCATGAAGCCATAACTGGCATCCCAGGCATCATCCACTCAGGGACACAATGTGACTTATCCTGAAGGAGCACAGTGGAAACGAAGCTTTAAAAAAAAGAATGAAGTGACTAAGGAACTCAGAAGTTTGTAGGTGGCTTTTAAAGAAGCCATTTTAATTTAGCCCTTAGAAGGACATCCGTCCTCCTGAAGCCGGCCCTGTCCATCCGCTGCCCTCTGCCCCGCTCCGATGCTCCCGCCTCCTCCTTCTCCTTCTCTCTGTGATCCAGCTTTAGCACCTAGCCTCCCTGAACTGCCAGCGTCTCTGGCGCCATTTCTCAGCCTTTCACATTAAATGCAGCATCGTTACTCGTTCTGTAAAATCCAGGTCCGCCATGTTGAATTGAAACCGGCGTGCAGGAGGTCTAAAAGACCGGCACACCTACCAGGGATTTAAAAGGTGCGTTGTTCGGTCCACCTGATGGAGACGTCATCTCTCAATGTTTACTTGTTAGGTTTAAAGCTGTAAAAACCGTGTGATAAAGTTGGCGTGTCTGAGAGGTTGGAGAAAAGCTAAACCCGTCTTCACTTAAAGCCCCAATGTTTTATGACCCTGAGATCCTGTGGATGAAAGTGTTCAGGCGGCAGTGAAGAGTCCTCACCACTTTATGAGCATCAGCTCATCTTTAACACGCGTTTCCAGAACAATCAGTTCACAGCCGCCAGCAGTGCTCTGCACGGCATGTTTTTCACTCCGCATAGATGATCGATTACAGTCGGACTCCAGGGACAGAGCTGTGTACAAAGCAGAGCTTTCAAATAATTTGAATTCAAAGGAAACAAGCAGAGCGGAACAACCTGACCCCAAGGGAAACGCTAATATTATGCTAACGGCTTGTTTGCTACCCTTGCAGCTGCAGCTCTCATTCAGATAGCTTTAGCTTCATAGCTGTGAGGAGCAGTTTAGCTTCTGTCACATGAGAGGGTTCCTGCTGCAGGAGGGGTTAACATCTTGGTCCAGAACCTTCATCTTCACCGATCAGGAGGTGGAAAACAAATGGACTACATCCACCAAATCAAGGGTACACCGTATGTCCAAAGTATGTGGTCATCACAGCATCACATGCGCACAATGGAGCATTTCAAGGCCAATGTTTGTTAATCGGATCCAAGTGGTTTAAACCTTCTTTCTACAACCTAATGTAATAATTAGCTAAGTTAGACAGAGTCTCATGGCAGCAGAACCTCAGACCAAAACAGGAAGTCACCCAAAAGTCATTTATCTATCCCTCCTGAAATCATCATTTCTATATTCCCTCCCATTATCGAAGATACAGGTTTTTCTTTCCCACAGCACTCTGAGGGGGGGGATCAGTCTGGGTTACATATCAAAGAGTTTTTCAAAACATAGAAGATGGAAGTCTACGCCGTTAATGTGGAGATGATCTGTTATTACAAGCTTTGGTTCCCTATTTATGGAAGGATAAACATATGGAGATAAATGTCCCCATACAGGTTAGAAATATTAAGATATTATTTTTGTCCATCTAGGAGTAGAAGTTATGATTTCTTGAGGTTTGCATCAGCTTTTCTGCAAATGTTTGTTTTTTCTCTGCATTTCCTCCAGAGATTCTTATGAAAAAAATATAAAATCTTCATCATTATTTAGTGTTTTGAATCCTTACTGACTGAAACTCATCGGCCTGTTTTCCTACCAGTCAGATATGGTGGACCAGAGCATCCTGAATTTCCTCCCGGAGCGGGAACACGGGGAGGTTTACAAGCTGCTATCATCCCACATGCTGATGTCTGACCCGGTTGCTGCTGATTTCCTTGACAGTGAGTGTCCTGCTTAGACAGGCCTGGCTGCTCAGTACAAACACAGAACAACAACCGAGACGACTGCTTGGTTCAAGGCTCCTCTGATTAGTCTGCTCTATGATTAGACTTTTAGCTAATAATAGGAGGCAGCTTAGTATCATAGTTAAGACTTTAAATCACTGTTATGTTAACACAGTAATCCCTGGGAGGCCGAAGACGCTGACCTTAATCCTGGGTTTCTGACAGGAAGAGAGAAGAGGAAGTGTCTGCAGCCTTAAAACATTTCTAACAGCCTCCATCCACTCAGTTTTTGGAAAGTCATCCGGGGATGGAAGAGAGTTTTTTTTGTTTTAAAGGATTATGTAGACACCTCAAATTTGGGTTGTCATTTTAGATTCCTGGATTATTTCCACATGGAAGATTAAAAGCTCAGAAAATATTCCCAGATTGTCTCTTATTTTGGTTAATTATTGAGTATTCATTTATACACTCGTTTAATTAGCATCTGTGGTTCTATTGTGAAAACCATTTACCTGTTTTTACTGCTAATAAAAATATTTTTTATGCCTTTTATTTTGATCAGAGGCAGGCCGCACCTAAAAACTTTACTGAAGTAAAAGTACCAATACTTTAACACATACAACATTGGGGGAGTTGTGGCCTGTAGTTACAACATAGAGCTTGGAATCCAGAGGTTCTGAGTTTGAGCCCCACTCCCACAAACTGCCACTCTGGGTTCATGAGCAAGACCTTTAACCCACACTGCTCCCCGGGTGCCGCACAATGGCAGCCCTCTGCTCCCCAAAGGATGGGTTAAATGCAGAGGTAAATTTATCCAATGTGAGATCAATAAAGTTTAATTATTATATAGAAAGTACCTAAAAAAGTAGTTTTTAAAATGGCAGTTCCAGTATGAGTAGCTGTCGGTTCCTGACATCAGATTTAATGTTTAAAATGATTTAATCAGACAGTAAAAAGTGAAATAATAAAATTCTAATTGGGGCAGAAGAAAAGTCTTTTCTAGGTTATGTAAAAAATGAAAAAGCTGGTATGTTAGAAAAGGACATCTGATATTTTCACCTGATCTCTAATCAGCTTACATTACTTGCAGCATTCAGAGGATCCAGAAATTTCAACAAGATTAGCAATATTTTTTATTGAAGTGAAATAAAAAAAAGTAATGTAAAGTACTGCTACTGCTACTGCAAAAAAGTTTTTGTTTTTTTTCTAAAATGTACTCAAGTAAATGTAAGTGGTCTCTAACAACCTGCGTCATATTTTATCCCTGTGGTGTCAAAAATGGTGTCGAGTAAGAAATATTTGCATAATATCAAACTAATATCAAGTTTGGAATTTCAGTAATGTGAAAACCGTAGTTAAATAATAAACTAAAGGCTTGAATAATTTGACCCATTATAGCAAAGATGACACTCTATCTACATTATGGAGCCAGAAAGGCTTGCCTTAACAAGGACTCACTCACTTTGAGCTTTTTCACATTTTGCACTGTTAGAAACACAAACCTGATTATTTATGAAAGGGATTTTATGTGAAAAGTGTTGCTGCATTAGTTTTCATCCTCCCTGAGTCAATAATCTGTAGAAACTTTTTCTGATCCCAAAGGAGCTGAATCTCCAGATCTGAACGAATCCTCAGGTCCTTCAGGCCTTTAATCAGGAAAATGTCTGTTTTTTCAGGTGAGGCACATATTGAATTCTGCTGTCATCTTGCCAGAGGTAACATGGACCCCAAGGAGCCTCCTGTGTACGAATATGTCAAGTTTGTTGGAGATTTCAAGTTTCATAACAATGGTATGAATATTTCCTTAAAAAAAGATTTAACAAAATGCCAAATTTTAACACATTTAGAGAGAAAAGGGGTGACATAAAAAAATATCTGTGCTGCCTGCCACACAGTGCCTACATCTTCTTGTAACGGGCATGAAGTGACGTTACCAAGAAGCCTGCAGTCGTCACTGGAGGAGCAGGTCTGCTTCATAGCCACCGTACGCTTAGTCACTCCACAGTTCCTGAAGGTGAGAACAGTTTGAGGCTCAGAATATACCATTGGTTTCATCTGTCTGTTGTTAAGATAAATAATGAGCCAAGGCCAAGCTTTGATCCTCGCTGATGCCATCAGGTCTGCTCGTTCCTGCTGCTACTTGGTTTGAGGACATTGATCTAATTAATTTATTCTAGGAGGCCCCTGGTGCCAAACTCAAACACAAAATCTGAAATTTAGATCCAAAAAGGATTGCACTAAGTAAAATATGAAGCCTTACGGTTTCCTCGTCCTTACTTAAACTCTGATAGAGTTTAGTCTCCTTTAAGAGACAGGAATAAGATTCAGTCATTCGGTCCTGCAGGTTTAATTACAACCACTTTTTAAAACAATTAGATCTATAGAACTATTAGGTGGGTGATGTGGTAAATGGTGAAAAATTAGAACATCCTAAAATTCTGCTAAGGTTCTCCTTGAATTGTTAATGCCCTGCTAACATCCTCTCGTTCTGCTAGCATTCTGGTAATGCTCTGCTAATGTTCTGCTAACATCCTTCTAGCATTCTGCTTACATTCTGTCATTCTTTGCTAAAGTTCAACTAACATCCTTCTAGCATTCTGCCAACATTCTGCTAATGCTCTGCTAAATTTCTGCCAACATTCTGCTAAAGTTCTGCTAACATTCTGTTAACGTTCTGCTAACATTCTTTTAACGTTTAGTTAAGTTCTACTAACATTCCTCTAGCGTTCTGCTAATATTCTGCTAACGCTCTGCTAAAGTTCTGCTAAAATTCTGTTAACGTTCTGCTAAAGTTCTGCTAATATTCTGTTAATGTTTTGCTAAAGTTCTACTAACATCCCTCTAGCATTCTGCTAATATTCTGCTAACGCTCTGCTAAAGTTCTGCTGACATCGTTCTAGCGTTCTCCTAACATTCTATTAACGTCCTACTAAAGTTCTGCTAACATCCTTCTAGCGTTCTGCTGACATTCTATTAATGTCCTGTTAAAGTTCTGCTAACATCCTTCTAGAGTTCTGCTAACATTCTATTAACGTCCTACTAAAGTTCTGCTAACATCCTTCTAGCGTTCTGGTGACATTCTATTAATGTCCTGTTAAAGTTCTGCTAACATCCTTCTAGAGTTCTGCTAACATTCTATTAACGTCTTGCTAAAGTTAAGTTCTTCTAACATCCTTCTAGCGTTCTGCTGACATTCTATTAATGTCCTGTTAAAGTTCTGCTAACATCCTTCTAGAGTTCTGCTAACATTCTATTAGCGTCCTGCTAAGGTTCTGCTAACATCCTTCTAGCGTTCTGCTAACATTCTGTTAATGTTTTGCTAAAGTTAAGTTCTTCTAACATCCTTCTAGCGTTCTGCTAATATTCTGCTAACGCTCTGCTAAAGTTCTGCCGACATCCCTCTAGCGTTCTGCTAACATTCTATTAAAGTCCTGCTAAAGTTCCGCTAACATCCTTCTAGGGTTCTTCTAACATTCTGTTAATGTTTTGCTAAAGTTCTACTAACATCCCTCTAGCGTTCTGCTAATATTCTGCTAACGCTCTGCTAAAGTTCTGCCGACATCCCTCTAGCGTTCTGCTAACATTCTATTAATGTCCTGCTAAAGTTCTCCTAACATCCTTTTAACGTTCTGCTAACATTCTATTAACGTCCTGCTAAAGTTCTGCTAACATCTTTCTAGCGTTCCGCTGACATTCTATTAATGTCCTGTTAAAGTGCTAACATCCTTCTAGAGTTCTGCTAACATTCTATTAAAGTCCTGCTAAAGTTCTGCTAACATCCTTCTAGCATTCTGCTGACATTCTGTTCATGTTTTGCTAAAGTTCTACTAACATTCCTCTAGCGTTCTGCTAATATTCTGCTAAGGCTCTGCTAAAGTTCTGCCGACATCCCTCTAGCGTTCTGCTAACATTCTATTAACGTCTTGCTAAAGTTAAGTTCTTCTAACATCCTTCTAGCGTTCTGCTGACATTCTATTAATGTCCTGTTAAAGTTCTGCTAACATCCTTCTAGAGTTCTGCTAACATTCTATTAGCGTCCTGCTAAAGTTCTGCTAACATCCTTCTAGCGTTCTGCTAACATTCTGTTAATGTTTTGCTAAAGTTAAGTTCTTCTAACATCCTTCTAGCGTTCTGCTAATATTCTGCTAACGCTCTGCTAAAGTTCTGCCGACATCCCTCTAGCGTTCTGCTAACATTCTATTAAAGTCCTGCTAAAGTTCCGCTAACATACTTCTAGGGTTCTTCTAACATTCTGTTAATGTTTTGCTAAAGTTCTACTAACATCCCTCTAGCGTTCTGCTAATATTCTAACGCTCTGCTAAAGTTCTGCCGACATCCCTCTAGCGTTCTGCTAACATTCTATTAATGTCCTGCTAAAGTTCTCCTAACATCCTTTTAACGTTCTGCTAACATTCTATTAACGTCCTGCTAAAGTTCTGCTAACATCTTTCTAGCGTTCTGCTAACATTCTATTAAAGTCCTGCTAAAGTTCCGCTAACATACTTCTAGGGTTCTTCTAACATTCTGTTAATGTTTTGCTAAAGTTCTACTAACATCCCTCTAGCGTTCTGCTAATATTCTAACGCTCTGCTAAAGTTCTGCCGACATCCCTCTAGCGTTCTGCTAACATTCTATTAATGTCCTGCTAAAGTTCTCCTAACATCCTTTTAACGTTCTGCTAACATTCTATTAACGTCCTGCTAAAGTTCTGCTAACATCTTTCTAGCGTTCCGCTGACATTCTATTAATGTCCTGTTAAAGTGCTAACATCCTTCTAGAGTTCTGCTAACATTCTATTAAAGTCCTGCTAAAGTTCTGCTAACATCCTTCTAGCATTCTGCTGACATTCTGTTCATGTTTTGCTAAAGTTCTACTAACATTCCTCTAGCGTTCTGCTAATATTCTGCTAAAGTTCTGCCGACATCCCTCTAGCGTTCTGCTAACATTCTATTAATGTCCTGCTAAAGTTCTGCTAACATGCTTCTAGCGTTCTGCTAACATTCTATTAACGTCCTGCTAAAGTTCTCTCTGCTAACATTCTTTATTTATATAAAATGAAGCCTAAAAATTTTTTGTTTTTTTATTATATGCCTAACAAACAGTATAGTGTTTGTAAAGGAAGAGTCACTGATTTGTGCGATATTTGGACGCTCATACACGGATGATGTTGTTTTATTTAGACAGTCACTGCCACAAAATAATGTTAATGAAGGAGAAAACGATCATTTAACTCTAAGACTGTTTTGATTCATCCAAATTGAAAGGTTTGCTTTATTTGTTGCATCTGACTCTGTTCTCATGCTCCCAGACCGCACAGCTTAAAGTCTTTCCTTTCAAACTCTTAAACCTTTTGCAGATCCCTCCTTTAACATTCCAGTTCCAAACTGGCCTCAGTTCTTCAGGCAGACTAAATATTCCAGTTCGAGGCCACAGCTGCTTTTAATCCACCAGTGGTGACGCACAGATATGGTCATGCAGTGCTTTAGTGCTGCCAAATGTATGATGCTGGACCAGCTCAGGCTGCCCTTTTTGGTAATAACCTTCATGCAGTGTCAGGAAACCTGCAAAACAAGAAGGTTTTGTGGGGGAAAAAAGTGGAACATCCAGGATGTTTTTGAGTCAGGAAAACGGCAGAGTTAAGGCTTTGCTGAGAAATCTGCAGAAACTGACGCCTCACCCCGTTCCTGTGCTCTCTGCTTCAGGATTTGTGTAACGTGGACGATCCTTGTGACGAATTCACGTCCAGACACAGCCTTGAATGGAAGTTCCTGTTCTTAGATCACAGGTGAGACATTGACATCCTCAGAAATACCAGAGCTCATTTTTATCCAGAACAAATGTCATCAGACTGGTTTCTCTTCCCCTTCTCTATTCCAGAGCGTCGCCGATCATCGGCTATTTACCCTTTGAGGTTCTGGGAACGTCGGGCTACGACTATTATCACGTGGATGACCTGGAGCTGATAGCCCAGTGTCACAAACAATGTAAGCAACCCAGCGCTGCCTCTTTATCACACATCCTCACCTCTTCAGCTCCTACAGGCTGGCTGATAAAACACGGGTCATCTGAACCTTTTGTGTTCCCTCTACTCCCCAGTGATGCAGTTTGGAAAAGGTAAATCCTGCTACTACCGTTTCCTGACCAAAGGCCAGCAGTGGATCTGGCTGCAGACTCATTACTTCATCACGTACCACCAGTGGAACTCCAAACCCGAGTTCATCGTCTGCACTCACACCGTCGTCAGGTGACCCTCATGCTCCTGTGGTCTGCTTCCTTGGTCATCGGAGAGAAAACCTGAATGTTTGTGTTTGTGTTGTTCAGTTACGCCGAGGTGCGAGCCGAGCGGAGGAGAGCGTTTGGTCTGGAGGATCTTTCTCCGCCGGAGATCGCCCCATCCTCCGTGAAGGTGAGAGTTAGGAACTCCTCTGCACAGGCAGCACCTTACACCTGTGTTTATTGCTCTGAGCATTTTGCACATCTTACACCACAAATTGGAGGGAGGTAAACCTGTGGAAGGAGTCTGGTCCTGCAGAACAAAACGAAACGGGCCAGGAGCGAGTTCCGGGCTCCAGTCATCATTCACACCGTCTTTAAGGAACTCTGTGTGACGCCTGCCAAACAGGAAGAGCACGTCAAGTTTAACTGGTGCATACAACCTGCTGTAGTGATCAGCTGGTGGGAGGGGTTAAGGCCATCAGTCGAATCATCCCCAAATTCTGCAGCTATTTTATTTTTGTGAACCGATTTTTGAAGCCAGTTTAGTTTTTTTCTGTCTCCATTCACACGATTAAATGGCTCAGCAATGAAAAATGTTACACAATTCTTAATTTAAACTAAAAAAGGAGCAGCGATGCTGGAGCATTTCATGATCTCAAGGCATAGCTGCTGAACGCACTAATAAATCAGAGAAAGAAGGAGGAGAAGAAGAAAAAAGGCTGATACGTCTAACCTGCTCCTTGAGGGTCAGCCTCCTCTGAAGATGGACAGATAATCAGCCGGACGATATCTATTAGCACGTTCATCCCTCCACCTGATATCTATTGTTAATTGTGTAACATTTGTTATCATTGTGTTATTTTAACATGTAAAGATCAGAGGTGTCAAAAGTATTGATGTTTATTACTCCAGTAGAAGTATAAATCCTACTGTTTAAAAAACTATTTTGTAGAAGTTAGAGGATCAACTTCAGCTTTTTATTCCAGTAAAAGTGTAAAAGTACCATTTTTTAAAACTTCCCCAAGTATAAAAGTAGAAGTAATGCAGGAAAAAATGTTAAGCACAGAATCTTTACTGCATTACCCTATTCAAGGAAAAACTTTTTTTACAATTCTGGATGATAACTTCCTTAGACTTAATTTTCTTAGTTTTATAACTAATGGTAACAGTTTCACATTCAACTTTGCATCATCTTAAAAAACTATTTATTTTGGTATGTGGTGAACAACAAGTTGGGGCAGCACCAACCACAATGAAATTAGTTGTCAGGAAGAAACAAATTATTTTGATGGTTTTTATTTCACCAAACGCTGCGTTGACTATATGCTGATGACAAACAAAAACACAATTTATTACCTTGAAAAGAAAGAACAGAGCGACATGATTGTGGTTGTAAAGATGTGACAAAGATGGAGGAGTATAAACCACTTTAACAGAAAATCAGTTCAGCCTCTGATTGGAGCGTGTTGTTCCCGCCCCTCCCAGGCTCAGGAGCTGTACTTGGACATCTGCTCCACTCTGGACGCCAAGAGGGACAGAAACGGCGGCGCTCGTTCGGTGTCGTCCCACAGCTCCAGGAAATCGTCCCACACCGCCCTCTCGGACTCTCTGTGTGAGTCATCCTCTTCTCTCTGACCCGTCAAGTCACTCGGACACAGATTCTCTTATTCTGATGTTAGTGCTGCTGAAAATTAGCCTAAAAACCATTTCTGATCAGGTGAGGCTGCTTTTAGGTTTTGGTTGCACTGGATCTCAGGAGCGAAGCAGAGGCGTCGCTGCTGCATCTTCATGAAGACGGCTCAGCAGCTGTCTCAGTTTCATAGCAGCATCCATTTCTAAAAGCAAACACAGTGTTGGCTTCCACAGCTTCTCCACTTCCTGGTTTAGGATCCTGGGCCTCAGCTGGTTTCCATAATTAGCTCTGGTTGGTCTGTTTGGATCCTGAATCAGGAGCTGTGATCTGAACAGAGGAGATGTGGTTTTCTAATGTTTTCACTTATGGTTTTTTCCCCACACTGCCCCCTAGAGGCGTCCAGAATATTGGGCAAAGAAGAGAAAAACCCAAAGGAGGATAAAACGTTCTACACGTCTCATTTCTGTGCAGAACGTAAATGAATCAGGGTTAAGGCTCTAGTTACGTATTAGATTATTTTACGGGTAAGGGTGGGCGTGCAGATGCCCGGCCATCTACACTGCAAGCTGCTGGCTTTAGAATAAAGGGAAACGCTCAGCAGTGGTTTGTCCAGTATATTTATAAAAAATAGTAATCCATCCATTGACCTCCTTAGAACGTCAGTAGACATGTTTCCATCATCCATGTTTTATGTCGTTTTAGAGGATCGCATTAGAAGAGCTTGATGGAAACATCAAAATTTAATCAACTTACTTATTTTCATAGCAAGCAGCTTTTTATGCCTGAATGGAGTAATTTGGATAAAATAAAAGGTCATTATGACTTTTATTTAGATATGATAATTCTCTAAGATGAAAGATTTATTTAACAAACAATGAATAGTATAAATCGACTGAGCTGGCATTTGGGGAAGACATTGATTCCTTCCCATTCTTAGCTTTGGTAGTGTTAAGATCAGAGACTGATTATACTTTATTACGATGTTTTTTTGTGTTTGTTCCTTTAGTTTGCAGGTCTAAATCTATGCTTCTCTTTGCAGCAGCAAACTCCTACACAGAGGCCTGCAAGCCATCATGGCCACCGGCCGCCGTCGGAACAGAGAAAACGCCGGGCAGACTCCAGCCTAGCGGCTCGAAGGTCAGCTGAGAACAAACATCTTCATCACATAGTCTGCTTCATTTACCCATGGAGATGAAGACAGTCAGCAGCAGCCTCCTTGGCCTGCTTCATCCTGAGCGTGTTTCTTTTGTCCCCCTGTAGATTTTGGCCCAGAGACAAAATTCCTTTGAAGTCGTTCCTCAAGAGAGCAGCAAGCACTCCGCCACGGTCAGTGTCTGGGCTTCCTCTCGGCTGCTTGTTTACAGGATCTGCCTGTTATGACTGTTGCTACCAGGCTGGTTTATTCCTCAGGCTGCTGATCTTCACTGCCTGCTGTGATTAAGGAGAAGATCTTTGTTTTGATTCTTTATTCCTCTATGGAGAAAACTGTCCCATTATTGTTCCAAGAACACTTTTTCTCAAAGGAAATACTGAGAAATAAAATTGTAAAACTTCTCAATCAAAAAAAAAAAAAAAGTTTAGCTTAACTTTATGGATTTGTTTCCCCAGTTTTTATTCATATTTATTTTTTGTTCAAATAGATATTTTTTTAATTAATACATTTTTTCCTGAATTTATAGTTTGAAATTTTCCTTTTTTAAATAAGACTGTTTCAGTTTTATGAACTTCCTTCTTTTAAAATCATTTCTTGGATCACATTCTCTCCACCTGCTCGCTCTCAACCATTGAACTGCTGTTGCTAAGTTCCAGCAGACCAATAGAAATTCATCTTTTCTCCTCAGTCCAGAAGAAAGCAAGAATGCAATACGCAAAAATCCTAAAAGGAGAAATAAAAGAAAAGTAGTTCCCACTGTGGGAACCTCTGGTCATCCTGATATTCTGATAATGCTACAGATTTTTTTTTTAGGCAGATTTTATCACTAGTATTAACAATAAAAACTGAGACAATAACAAATGTTACAGAAAACCAAAATAAACCTTTATTAACAAATTACCTGCTCCACATTAACAATGCGGAGCAGGTAGAGGGAGCGACATGATGCTAAGTCAGGGCTGCTGGATGAGCTGATTGGTGAGGCGAGGCACGTATCGACCAATGCTGATATAAGAAACAAAATATATCAGCCCCAAAATATCAGTCGTTCCACGTTACATCAGTCTAATTTCATTACATAAAGATGTTCAACTTTGCTGAAATCAAATCACCAGAAGAAGCAGCAGGAATTACTCAAAGTCTTATAGGAACCTAATATGGAGAAGAAAAAAATGCTAACATGACCCTGAAATATCATTGGGCTGATGTGGCGGTCTATCTCTACCCACCGGTACAGTAACTACTGGTTACCGTATTTTCTTCTGACCTCCAGATAACATAGCGATGCTTCATTGAAGTCAAAGGTCACTTTGTGCTCTGCTCTGTCTTGTCTCTGCTGGATGTTTGCATCTTGGGTTCATTAGGTATGCAGGTGAAGATCCAGGTCATAGTCATTCCAAAAAAGTGAAAAACAATCCACTGGACTTTGTCTTTCAAGTTTGAAGACGTTTTGCTTCCCATCCAGGAAGCTCTCTAAATTCAAAATCTCTGCATTAGTATTGAGTTCCACCTTTATAGAGTAGCCCAGCAAAGCCTTGTTATGGCTTAGAAAACATGCAAATCGAACTGGACGAACAGATTGTTTTAACCACCTGCATGGCGATGAAGATTGAGATGATAGCAGGAAGGAATCAACTTCATCAGGTTCATTAGAGATTCTAAGCTGACTGTCTGCCATAAAGTGCACCCTGCCTCTTGCCCCACTGCTTTTCTCACAGTATAACGGTTTTCTCCCCCTTCAGCAGCAGCAGCAGCAGTCTGTGTATCAGCTTCAGCAGCCTCAGCTCGGCGTGATGACCCAGCTGAAGGAGCAGCTGGAGGAGAGGACGCGCATCCTGCAGGCCGACATTAAGACGCAGCAGCAGGAGCTGTATGACATCAAGGAGAAGCTCCATCTCGCTAATCTGCAGGTAGGAAAAGAAATCTTAAACCCAGCCTGTTTGTTTCTGGAGAACCCAAACTGGAAAAAGATTTGACAGAGGACACCAACAGTGATAGATCTATGTTTGATAGATTCTGATTGGAGTAAAATCAGCCTGTTTCTAAATCCTCAGCAGTAATGAGCTTGTCTCCCTCTAGAGGCCAGTTTTGCTACTGCAGCCCAGACCACCATGCTGTTGTTTTAACTTTTAAGCATTTCAATTGACATATACCGGTAGTCTTAATCTAAATCCCGTGTGTCAAACTGAGGGCCTGCAGGCCAAACCCAGCCCCTTACAGCAACGTATGCATCCCTCAAGAGCCAACAAAGGCAACTAGGCAACAAGGACATACCCTGCCATAAAGTAGACAGATGTGTTCTTTTCAAAGTGGCAAGAACTGCTCAATATATGGAGGTATAAAAACACTATTTAGATAAATACATCCATATTTAATCACTTTTCATGTTGGAACCTGATATGGAGAAAAGAACCTGCTAATATGACTCAAACTTATCAGCCTTCCGATGCGTCGGGGTTCCTCTACCATCATCATCAGTAATCATTCGGGATATAGGGCTCATTTAAAAAGCCCTCCTCAGTTTCACTCACATTATGACCGTTTTTGTGTCAGAAAAATATGAAATATAATGTCAATAATGAAAATAATCACTTCTGCTGTTAACGCAAAATAATCCCTATTTTTTATTTTTGTTTTAACATTAAGCTATTTAATGATTTGTCTCTCTTTATTCTGCTTATGAACTGAAAGTGTATTTAGAATAATTACAGAAATGGGCCTGAATGGTTTAGTTTGTATAAAATTTGTAAATTTAACTTTAATTTTTTTTTTTTTTTTTTTTTTAGAAGGACTTATTTTTGATAAATGAGGACATGGAGAAACCAGCTGTTCCTGATGTTTGTGTTTTAGATGCTGTTACAGCAGCCGATTCACAGTGACTTAGGCCAGGCCCAGCAGCAGCAGCAGCAGAGCCCGGGAAGGCCGGCGCAGCAGAACCAGAACCAGTCTGGTGTCATCAGGCAGCCATCAGGCCAACAGAAAGCGTCAACCTGCGGGGCTCACAGCTCACCTACGCTCCCTCTGAGAGAAAACGCCTCTTCGTCCTCACAGGTTTAGTAAAACCCGCCGGAAAGATGATGATGATGATGTCGTTTTACTATAATAGAGAATATTTCCATTCTTCATTAGCAGCTAATTACGTCTCATTACAAACTCACCAATCATGCTGCGTTCACACCGGACGCAGCAGGCGCAACAGAAGCAGCGAGTTTACATGCAAAGTCAATGGTTGACGCGCGTCAAGGCGCAGCAAAAGGTCCCGCGGCGCGTTTTGAGCAGCAGGCGCAGCACGTCTGAGCAGCTGAAACAGCGCGTCGGGCGCGTTAAAGCATCTGACGTGCGTGACGCGCCGCAAACGCGCTGCTGCTCCAGATGGAAAAATTTAATTTTTGCTGCTCAACGCGCCGCGTCAACCAATCAGAGAAGCTGATCTGGGAGCTGGCAGGGAGAGAGACACAGTGCTGATGATACAGATCGCTATGATCACTCCTCTGAAACAGTTTATTGATGCCTAAATTAACTTAAAATGGAGAAATCTGCCGGCAGAATATGTTCCCTTTTATTATTCTGGTGCCTGCAGTTCGGATTATTTAGATGAAAAACACCTACCAGCTGCCGCGGTGAACCGCGAGGAGGCGACCCGGCCAGAGGCTGCTGTTGAAGGGATTCCTACTGTCGGCGCACCGCTGGTATGTGGGGGTCTGAGCGGCTCCGACAGAAATAATACTGGGAGGCAGGATTGTAATCTGGATGAACTGACTGCATTGATTAAGTTTTCAGGTGGATTTTCTCACTTTAAAACATATTAAAACTACTTTATTCCCACTGATCACAGCAAATATAGCTGCAAGGCAGAGAAAGGATAGTGAAGCTCCGCCAAACGCGCGTCAGACACACTTTTGGACCGTGCAGCCAGAGCAGCAAAGCTGCTTCAGCCGCGCGTCAGAACTAACTGGTACAAGCAGCAAAAATGAAGCAGCAGACGCGATTTTGCTCTTGCTGCGTCCGGTGTGAACGTAGCATCAGACACGCCCTGCCCCATTAAGGCTCTAATTAGCATTCCTATTTATATAAAGAAAGTTACACAAGAACGTTTGTTCTCAACTTTCTGGATATTTTCTAACAATAAGTTTTATCCAGTCCAAGTTATTTTTGTCTCTGATGTGATGAGGATTTCAGATATTGAAGGGGAACACCATTTTTTTTTTTTATTGGACCCTTGATTTTATGTTCTTACGTCATGTTCCACTCACCCATGTTAGTTTTTTGTTATTTGGAGCCGTTCTGAAGATATTCCATTAGGTTATATCCAAGTAACGTCTTCCTATGGGCAACGACTTGAAGGCACAAACTAAACTGTTCATAATTTATTCTTTATGGTACGCCAGCATTCATAACATGTAGGTGAATCACTGTCCCCCAGACATCCGCGGTTATATTTTTTATATTTATATATATTTTTTAAAACAAAGCGGAGTGTGTGTGACGTCATCTACGCGGGGCGGCTATTATTCCTTCATCCTGTCCGCTGAACTGCTGCTAGTTTTACTCACATGCCTGGAAGATGTCTAGTGCTACTACCACAGATGATCTCGCTCTGCAAATTGAATTGAACGAATAGAAGGGGTAGAGCGTAGCCGCCTGTGGCCCGGGCTGCCTGTCACAACTTCAGTCCGGCGCACGGATGACGTCATACACACTTCAGTGAATCGGTGCTTTAGAAACAGTGTATTGGCCAGTAGATTTGCACTGCTGATCTGTGGTGCTTACACTGATGGGAAGAAGGACCATTTAAATGATGATGTTGGTTCTTTTACACCAAACGACTGATTAGGAGACGCTTTTCGCCGTTTGTCCAGCTTACCTCTACCTGGTCTGTGCCTCAGGTTCAGCAGTGGATTGCCCGCAGCAGACCAACCCAGACGGTGAGTCTACCGATGCAGACCAACACCAGCCTGACGACGCCCTTCTACAGCAACCCCATGATGTTCTCCCAGACAAACACCAGGCCTCAGCAGGACCCGAACCAAAGACAGACGGATCAGCTCAGCCATGACGGACAGTTACGGTCAGACGCCTGAAAGATGGTCTCTTTTACCTTGCCGGGTTCTGGTGTCGGTTCTAAAGCGGTTTCTCTCCTGCAGGATGCTCCTCAAGCAGCCCATGCAGACTGTGGTTCCTACAAGCAGCAGCGCCTCCCAGCCTTCCCAGTGCAACATGGGAATCTCCCAAACTCTGTGAGCAGCCAGACCGCAGCTACTGCTTGGTGTCTGTTGGTTCTGCAGCTGAGCTCCTCTCTGCTCTCCTTACAGGTACAGCTTGGACCAGCCCATCACCTCCTTCACCATGCAGCAGGTCAACTGTAACGCCGTGCTCGTCCCCTCCCCCGTCTTCACCTCACCCATCATGATCCCACACAACAGCTTCATCTCGCATCAGGCCCAGTCGGCCTACCACAGCCAGCCGCAGGCCTCCCAGCACTCTGTGCAGCAGCTGCAGGCCCAGCAGTTCTTTCAGGTGAGAACCCCCACAGCTCCTACATGTGATCGATGGCGGCGGCGCCGCAGCAACATAAGAGCCTCCACGTCTGCATGCTAAAATGATATGAAGCATCGGATGTAGCAGCGGATGTGTGCACTTATTCTAATTAGCTGCAGAGTTTATTTTGAAAAACCAACCCACCACCTTCTGTCTTACCATGGAGCTGGTTAGCATATGAAGCTAACTGGTAGCTACAGGTCGCTGCTCTGCTGTGAAGGAAAACTGGAGGGGACAGTCCAGTGATGAAAACTTTGTGACTTTATCGTTTTATATGGAGACTTTTTAGACCCTGTAGTGACTTAAAAAAGGAACCAGAGACAAATCCAGCGACTTTTCACTTTTGTTTTTTGTAAGTTTAGCAGTTCCAGATGAAAGCAGACATCTTTCTACCGCTAAGCTTGGTTTATACTCACCACGTCAGACAGGGCGCGAAGGTGCGCGCCCCAAAAAGTGACGCAAGTCCCCGCCCACAAGCGCAGACCGCGCCAGCCTCGTTCCAAATTGGAGGTTATAAAGTAGTTTGCCTTTACTGACATCAAATGGTGCAGAAGGTCAATGTGGAACAGTTTGGAAAATATAGAGTTCCTGTTTATTCAGTGACTAAAATCAGCGAAAACAGGGGAGAGTTTATCGTCCAGGATGGTGGTAAAAACAAGGATTTAGTTTCTGTTTCCATCACATAGGATATAAAGTCTGAAACAACTATCCATAGTATACAGTGCATTCAGCTTTAATTAGTGAAACAACGCAGTTTTTTAAATATCTGTTATTTTAAAATAACAAAGAGGTACATATGGGCTTCACTGGGATGTTTCCTGGTTTCCCTATCATCACGTCTCTCTGTGTGCAGCAGGTAAACCTACCATTTTATTTCACAGTGTATTTCTGTGTAGCACACCTATCATTCTTCAATCATCATCAGTTCTTAAATGAAGAAAACTGTGTTCGGACATTTTCACTCTGTGTTTTTGGCGAGTACTGCACCTACATCCATGTCAACTATAAAAGGGTACAGCATTTCTATGGTCTCGCGCACAGACCGGCGAGATTACCCAAATGCGCAAGTAGATTTCGGCCATTACTGTCTGACAGGGAGCTCAGAGCTCCTCCTGCGGTCAGAGCAGAGAGCAGACCTGCCCCATTTCCCCTCAGCATATAAAAAACATGAGCAAAGCTACTCAATCTGCCCTGGATTACAAAGCAGGATATAAATATCATGGAAGCAGTTTTTAATCTGGTCTCCTTTTTTCTTTAAAACTATTGGACTAAAAGAGTGACCTGATTCCCACACGACGTGGATCACTCGTCTTGTCAGACTCAATGTCTGTTTGGAAAATCAAAATTACAATACTGATACTCAAACAGAGACATTTAAAGTGTGATGTCAGGATGCAGGACAGATTCAGGCTTCGTCAGCTGGAGCAGATCTGCTCTGTTTCAGGCCCCGTCCACACGAAGTCAAAACGAACACGAAACGCTGATATTTTCCAAAACGTTTGCCGTAAAGACGGAGACGTAAAATAAATGTGAGCGTCCACACGAATGCATGAAAACGCTGTAAAATGTATGCCAGGCCTGTAAGTGGCGCTGTGGTGCCAAAGCAAAAATAAGCGACGAAATGTTGGGCATGCGCACTAATATTTATACATGGTTGCCCTGCGGGTCCATTTTCGTGATTAAGTCAAATTCAGGTGTTGAACTATGTGGTCGATATTGCTCTGTTCTTCCTGGAGATATTCCAGAAGAAGAAGATTCTGTTGTAAGCCCGACAGCAGGGTGAGTAGCATTAGCAGCAACGGCGCCATTGTTGTTGTGATACTGTGTCGCACATGCGTGTTTAGAGGCGACGCTATGACGCATGCGTGTAAAAAAAAAAAATGCGGTTAGAGCGTAAAGATTCAAACGCGAAAACGGCGTTTCGAAATCTTCCCACTCTGAAGCCTGAATAAAAAAAAGATCGTTTACAGACCCCCGAAACGCCGGCTTCGTGTGGATGAGAGGCTGGTTTGGTTAAAAATTTGTGCGTTTAGGCCAGGGTTCGGCTTCGTGTGGACGGGGCCTTAGAGACAGGAGCTGAGAGCTGTGGACGGACCGGTCCGTCCACATTCCAGCCCCTACCTGTGGTCATGAGACACGAGAGCAAAGATCACAGATACAAACCAGTAGGGTGGCTGAGCTCCAGCTGGGAGGGTGGAGGAGGAGCCTAGACGTTCTCTGCTGCTCCTCATGGAGGCAAGACTGCAGGAGCAGGCCCCGCCATTTTTAGTTTTCCTGCAAAACTTCCACTGTTTTACTAGACTTCATTGGAGCTACAGACTATCAAGCAAACAAAGAACAGCGTCAGGGGTCATTTATGTTAACATTTTTGAAATTAAAGTAATCAAAACTTTACCTTAAGTTTTAAAATTTGATAATCAAGTGAAAAGGTTCTGATGCAGATGGACAGCAGGTCTGTTTTAGTTGGACTACGCAGCAATTCAGCAACAATTTCATGGGTCTAACAGGAAGAGAGATGTTTTTACAAAGTAAAACACATCTGCTGCAGCATGCCATCTTTACTGATGGCTTTATGAGATTTTAAAATTCCTTTAGAATCATATTTCATTAAGCGTAGTCTTAAAATGCACATATCATCACCATAATAGTTAAAACTCATAACATTTCCTGTTATAACGTTTTAAATGTTTGAATTTATGCAGAAAATAAACATTGAAAAATACACTCGTGCAAAACAATAACACAGCTTCAGCCTCTTCAGAGGGGCTGTCAACACCGTGGATCTGTGTTTAACTTAATGTTGAACAAATGCTCAACAAATTAAAAGCACTCAAACCGGAAGTTATTTACAACATGAAAGAAAAATGAGCACAAAATCAATGACATAAAATACATTATATTTCGTTGTAATAAAATACAAATATACATCCAATTTGAGGGAAAATGCTAAATAAAATCTGTTAATCGTATTGGAGTCATACAGGAGGCAGGGAAATGAGCAATACATAAAACGCTTTAAAAAACAGAACCTTACCAATGCTAGGAGTTCAGGGGGACAGAAAACGGATATAATAGTGATCCTGTTATAAAAATCATATAAACTGTCCCACCGCCTGTATTGCTGCGTACATCCCATCATTTTTTTTTTTTTTTTTATATCTGCATTGGTTTAACAGCAGGCTGGTCATGAAGTCGGGCTTTGCCTTGTAGCTTTTCCAGCTGATTGGTTTCTTTACTTTTTCTATCCATCCCATCCAGTCAAATGTGGGACATTAGCTGCACCGTTTAAATGCGTAAAATATCCATGATCGGATCTAAATCTCGGTTGATTGGAAGTTCAAAATCTCTGTTTCCATGGAAACTAAATATAATTATCCGATCTCGTGTGTGTATCCATGTTCCAAACGTTTGATCAGATGGAATAATTTGATGCACTGATCTATCTAGTTTTCTTGAAACACCTCAGTAGTAGAAGAGGCCCCTGTGTTGTAAACAAGGACATGCGGGTCCTTTCCTCCTCAGCTTTAGCTCCTCTCTGTGTCTGACCCTCACATTTTACTTTCTTCGGTTCTTCACTCGTCTTCATGTAGATTTTGCCATGATGGACATTGGACACATCTTTGTATCCATCCTTTTGTTTTTGATGGTCATTTTGGCAAAGGGCTCAGCGGCAACTTATGCTAACACTCCTTAGCTATAGTGGTAACTTATGCTAACAGTCCTTAGCTGCAGTGACAACTTATGCTAATGGACATTGGACACATCTATGTATCCATCCTTTTGTTTTTGATGGTCATTTTGGCAAAGGGCTCAGCGGCAACTTATGCTAACACTCCTTAGCTATAGTGGTAACTTATGCTAAAGCTTCTTAGCTGCAGGGGCAACTTATGCTAATGGACATTGGACACATCTTTGTATCCATCCTTTTATTTTTGATGGTCATTTTGGCAAAGGGCTCAGCGGCAAATTATGCTAACACTCTTTGGCTATAGTGGTAACTTATGCTAACGCTTCTTAGCTGCAGCGGTAACTTATGCTAACAGTCCTTAGCTGCAGCGGCAACTTATACTAATGCTCCTTAGCTGCAGCAGTAACTTATGCTAACACTCTTTAGCTATAATGGTAACTTATGCTAACACTCGTTAGCTATAGTGGTAACTTATGCTAACACTTCTTAGCTGCAGCGGTAACTTATGCTAACGCTCCCTATCTACAGCGGTAACTTATGCTAACGCTCCTTAGCTGCAGCGGTAACTTATGCTAACACTCCCTATCTACAGCGGTAACTTATGCTAACGCTTCCTATCTACAGCGGTAACTTATGCTAACGCTCCTTAGCTACAGTGGTAACTTATGCTAATGCTCCCTATCTACAGTGGTAACTTATGCTAATGCTCCCTATCTACAGTGGTAACTTATGCTAACGCTCCCTATCTACAGCAGTAACTTATGCTAACGCTCCCTATCTACAGCGGTAACTTATGCTAACGCTCCTTAGCTATAGTGGTAACTTATGCTAATGCTCCCTATCTACAGCGGTAACTTATGCTAACGCTCCCTATCTACAGCGGTAACTTATGCTAACGCTCCCTATCTACAATGGTAACTTATGCTAACGCTCCCTATCTACAGCGGTAACTTATGCTAACGCTCCCTATCTACAGCAGTAACTTATGCTAACGCTCCCTAGCTAGAGCGGAAACTTATGCTAACGCTCCCTATCTACAGCGGTAACTTATGCTAACGCTCCCTATCTACAGCGGTAACTTATGCTAACACTCCCTATCTACAGCGGTAACTTATGCTAACGCTCCCTATCTACAGCAGTAACTTATACTTAAAGGTACACTATGCAACCGGTGTTGATTTTCCAGCGAGGCCCCCCCCCCAGAGGGCGAAAGTAAAAGTGCACTGTCGTAAATATGCACAGCTGTTCTCCTTGTTTCTCCGTCAAGCCAGGTGCGGTTGTTTTGAGCTTAGCAGACAGGCGAACGCAACGAATGACTAATGCTGCGTTCACACCGGACGCAGCTGGCGCGACAGAAGCAGCGAGTTTGCATGCAAAGTCAATGGTTGATGCGCGTCAAGGCGCAGCAAAAGGTCCCGCGGCGCGTTTTGAGCAGCAGGCGCAGCGTGTCTGAGCAGCTGAAGCAGCGCGTCGGGCGTTTAATCATCTGACGCAGGTAGAGAGACACAGCGCTGATGATCAGAGGCTATGATCACTCCTCTTAAACAGTTTATTGACGCCTAAATTAACTTAAAATGCAGAAATCTGCCAGCAGAATATGTTCGCTTTTATTATCCTGCTGCCTGCAGTTTGGATTATTTAGATGAAAAACACCTACCAGCTGCCGCGGTGAACCACGAGGAGGCGACCCGGCCAGAGGCTGCTGATGAAGGGATTCCTACTGTCGGCGCACCGCTGGTATGTGGGGGTCTGAGCGGCTCCGACAGAAAAAATATTGAAGGCAGGGGGATAATCTGAATGGACTGACGGCACTGATTACGTTTTCAGGTGTATTTTCTCACTTAAACACATATTAAAACTACTTTATTCCCACTGATCACAGCAAATATAGCTGCAAGGCAGAGAAAGGATAGTGAAGCTCCGCCCAACGCGCGTCAGACACACTTTTGCACCGCGCAGCCAGAGCAGCAAAGCTGCTTCAGCCGCGCGTCAGAACTAACTGGTACAAGCAGCAAAAATGAAGCAGCAGACGCGATTTTGCTGTGTCCGGTGTGAACGTAGCATAACTGCACAAAGATCGCCACTGTGCTAGCAACGAACATGCTTTTAACTGGGGCATGTAGCAGTTCTCGCCGTAAAGCAAGACTGACTCTCGCGAGACTTCTGAGCCTGTGGGTGCGGGTCGGTGCTCCTGCAATTGCAAGTGCGGTATTTCCCCCACAGACCACCAGGGCGGCCGAGAATACCTTTGTTCAACCTGAAATGACTCATTTAATCATCCAAAACGTTATGGAACACATTAATTAACTGAAAAATGTTGCATAGTGTGCCTTTTAACGCTCCCTATCTACAGCGGTAACTTATGCTAACGCTCCCTATCTACAGCGGTAAGTTATGCTAACGCTGCAGTAGTACCAGGCAGGATGGCAAGTTCATCCACACATTACATTTAGAGCCACCTCTTCCACCGAGGAGGACCAGGAGCATCAAAGTAAATTGGGGGTCGTTAAACTTTTTAAATGTTTTTCCGTATTAAGGATGAAATCCACCTTTTCTCAATCTATCTGGTAAAATCCCAGTAAATCATGTTTGAATGGTTTCAAAGGTCACTCATCTCCATATATGGTCAAACATCCTCTTTGTTTTCACAGATAAATCAGGGTCTGGTTCACGGCGGTTCTGCTCCAACTTTCCTCCACGCCACCAACATCCCACAGCAAAGCACCATGGGATACATTCAGCAGCCACCACAGCAGCAACGGCAGTACCAACATTCCCAGAACCAGAACCAGCCAGGCAGTGTTTCAGACTTCAGGGACATGCTGACCCGATAGCACTGAGGACTGGATCGCAGCGCCAAGGATCTGCCTCTCTGGCGCCGCTCTGTTGGCGGCGGCCAAAACCTCCTAAATCAGGGGGCGGCATGCCCGACGCCGACCCGGAACCACCCGCAGGATCCGAAGACAATCTGAGGGGTCGGGTCTCTGTTGGGGCCAAAAGGGCTGCAGCGGGTGCACAATCAGAACCGTGACCCGGACCTGTGGAGGTTTCCTTCTAGAAAGTTCTCATTCAGCTGTTTGCACTTTGACCCCAGAAGTAGAATATTTATTTATTTTGGACCTAAGATGATCCGTTTTGCTCTCAAGCTGCTCCCACCTAGAATCTCTCTGTTTAGGGCGGGTCCAGCTCTGCAGAACAGAACTGTTCTGGAACCAGAGGAGCAGCGGAGCTGGACTGGACCTCAGAAACCCGGAGTCCGGACCCGGTGTCAGCCTGCAGAGAGGCGGAGGAATCGTGCCTTCAACCATAAAGACGGCTTTAAAATCCAGCTCAGGTCCGTTTGGATCATCAGAGGTTTATTTTCATAACAGAGAAGATTGTTCTGAAAACAGGAAACGTGTAGATTTTCTCCTGCAGACGTTCTTCCTGGTTGCAGTTCCCGGCTAATCGCTGCAAGAGCATCGTTCCGACAGAAATGTGGAAAAAAACCTTAAAATGAAATCAAGCTGCAAATAATGATTATTCTGATCATCGGTTAATGATCAAAAAGGAAAAAGAACATTTATGTTAGAATTTAAACCAGCTGAAACTAAATATTCCCACTTGAGGATTTCTGAACAAAAACCTTTTTATCTTAAATGCAAAATGTTTTTCATTCTGGTGTAAGTGCTGCTCTGAGTGGGTCCCTCTGTCAGCTGCAGTTAATGATTAATCGATTAAATCAATTGATAGGTTAGTTGACTATTATATTAAAAATCGGTTAATTTGGTTCATTGTTTGATCCTTAAAATAACCTTAAATTCAGAAGCACTTTAATGAGAAACGAACCCAAACCTTTAATTTAATCAGATACCTGAAAACCAGGAGAAACGGAGCGACAGAAAAATACAGAATCTTTAAAGTGGAAGAAGCTCAGCATGAGGAGTTCAACCGGTCGAAACCAGTTCTCATAAAAACAAACTAACAATGATTTTATTTTAAGGCTTTTTTCCCGAAGCTTTGAACAGATTTTGGACAGCTGTCCGTCTGACCCACAAACAACCAGATCAGATTTTATTCACTGAAAACACAGAAGTGTATTTGAAGGTTTCCATGGAAACGGCTGGCTCTCCTCCTTCCTGAGCAACACGACTTTACCTCAGAAAGTTGGAGGAGCAGAATCTGATGGGTTAGGCTGGATTACAGTGGAACCTGAGATAATCCAGAGGACGGTTAACAGATTGGGGCGAGGCGTTTTAGTCTGTCTATATGGAGACAATGTTGTTCCAGTATTATTGAGGGCAAAGAACAAAAAAGAAATTTAAATAAAATGTTTTAAAATATTTTTTTAATTAAAGATAAACTTTAAAGAGTAACTCATATGTTATATGTTACAGTTTTCTAATTTTATCTTAAATATAAATTTTTCAGATAAAAAAAAAAAAAAGCTGAATTATTAGTTTTCTACAGATTTCACCCTCTGCATCTCTGTGTGGTCTGAGAACACAGCAATAGAAATTAGCCACGAGAAATAAAATTTGGAAAAACGTTTGAGAAAAATAACATTGTGAAAACATAATCCAAAAAAATTAAAATCAGAAAAGAACTTCGAAATACTAACATTTGGAAAGTAAACTCATAAAAATAAAATAACATGGGGGAAAAACAAAACAAAATTAGGATCATAAATCTGGAAGAAATATATATAATCTGAAAAAAATGACCAACCCTATAAAAACTCTGGCAGATCTTTTACACCTTACTAATTAATCTTTTGTCTTTTACTATTGAGAAGTGTTTTAAATTTCCTTTCTTAAACATTTGCATGATGTTAACTATCACTAATAGTGGAGCAACTTTCTCCCCATAGCCTCACAATGACAATCAGCAGAAACGCAGCGACTTCAGCCCCCAGAAAGCGCCAGCGTCTCTGAGCTCACGCTGGGTTGAGACGCAGCTTGCTCTGCGTGGACATTCAGGCCGTTTTTACACTTTTGTATGTGCAATGTGGATGGAAGGAGCCGGGTCGTTCTCGGGTCCGAACAGCTGTAGATAGAGGCGTACCGCCAGCTGGTCTTATTTATATGGAGTTATTTTTGTAACATTCCCAGGACTCGTCCTCTAAATGGGAGGATAGCAAGGAAGGCACGGTGCACAGGGTTTGGACCGAACCGAGCCGTGAAAAGAGATTAAAGCAGGAAGCTGGATCTCAGCTGCAGTTATTCAGTCATTTAACACTTAGAGATTCTAGAAGAAAAAGTGCAATTGTGTAAAATCACAAAGTTTGTTTTATTTATGTGGCTGGAGCCCCCCACCCCCATGAAGATCCAGCTGAAGCGGTGCCATAGATGTCTGTGTTTCTGTTCTGACAGATCAGTGTTCAATAGAATTTCATTTAAAAGGTTATATAGAGTTCAGTTGTTTAATTCTGGCCAAAAACGAAAACTAAAAGAAGGAAGCAGCACAGAAATGTTTCGGTTGAAAGAAAACCATGACGCTGCTGACCTGAGGAAGCCAAGGCATATTGTTGGAAAGTTAAGTGGAAGGAAAAAAATTTGATGGAAACAAGCAGCCTTTGGGATGACAGACTGAGTGTAAAGCCTCCACACACACATTAAAAACAACTTTATTAATACAAAATCTCGTTATTATGAAGCCAAATAGTTGTTCTTTTTAATCTGCTGTAAGCCATAATCCAACAATTTTCAACCTTTGATGCGCTGATGATGGTAGGAACCTCCTAGCTAAAAATCGTAGCTCAAAATTTAGAACATCTGCTTCTGGGGAAAACGGTTCATCCACAGATCAGAGTTTGGTTTTGTTTGCCTTTCAGAATCGTTGGGTTCGTCATGATCCTGATGAAGGGTGTAAACATGAGTTTTTTAGTTGATGATGATGATGGCTGCTCCTCCTGTTCTCGACCGTTTGGGTTTATTTTTCCACGTTTGTGAGTTAGGTCACTTCTAGGTGAACTTTTCTGTTTTCCATCATCCTGAGCTTCACCTCAGCCGTCGGATCACATCCTGAGAAACGAACAAACAGCCTGGTGTTTAGTCACCTCTGCCGTTTCAGTGCAGAAACAAACATCTAGAGAAACTGTATATTGTATCGAAGAATGTGGAAAAAGGACTTTAGGATGCATAGTTGTTTATTTTATATGTGTAATAGATGATATATATGTATGTTATTACTTTTAAATTAAAGTAATTTTATAAAAGATTGACTTTCTCTGGTTTTCCTCTTTTGTACATTTAGATTGTGATATTTTCACTGAAAAAGCTTTTAAATTTTTTAAATACTTTATTTCATTTAGTAATGTCTTGAAATTGAAAGAAAATCTGAAACATTCCTTTAGTTTTAATCATTTTTCAGCTTCTTACCCTTTTTTGTCTTTTCATATTTTTAAGTTATTAAAGGTTGAAGGTGAAACGACAAAAATATTTTCTGCACAAACGATTGTCACCACTGGTTTGAACCGGTTAAAGGCGGGTATGTTCTGTTACCTTCAGAGGTCAGACACTGCTGTGCTTATGCTACGTTAGCTTCTCTGGCTACCAGGAAGGCGTCCCGACATTAAACCACCAACAGAAACCCAGGGGTCTTATTTCTATAGATCTGATTACATCCAGATCCAAAGAATCCTCTGATCAGTTAAACAGAACCCATCTGACATCATGAAGTAGGACCAAACACCCTTTATACCAGTAGCAGCTGGTGGATTTTTCACTACGACTAACAAAACAGCTTTACTCATCATTAAAGATTAAATATTTATCTTGGAAAGCTAAAAAAATATATTTAGATATTTTAAAATATTTTTTTTATGCCTAGCGCCCTGTATTGGCCAGCGGCCACTGGTTTATACCCTGTTGTCAGAGTTTATAAGTCTGAAAGGTTTCAGATGGGATGGAAAGACCGCTGCAGAGTCCGGTTACTACTTATGTAGCTTCTTGACATCTGGACTTTCTCTCCTCATAAATACTTTCTACTGTGCCCCTATCCTGGGCCCCCTGGTTAATTAGGCCTAGAACCACCCCTGACTTTATCATTATGTCTATTTTCTTTTAGAACCAAATCAGATTTTTTTTTATCGCTTAGTTTTATCTATTTTATCTGCATTTTTTATTTTCTCTCCACAGACTTTGAGAAACATCCAGCTATTTTAATTTAGAAGTTTCAGGGGAATTAAGTTTTTTATTTATTTTTTTGAGTTGAAATTTTGTCTGTACTTTTATTTATTTATTTTTTGTTTCCTACATTGAAGGATTTGATCTCTGCCAACATTGAAAGAAAAGATTCTGTAGGTTGAAACTGATGGAATATGGTGGTGGAATTATAATGCCCTGGGTTGTTTAGTTGTTGAGGTGGGCACTCTGCTGGTGGCAGTTTGTCACCGTGCAGTGGGACCGCGATCCAAAGCAGACCCAGACTGATGTCGCCGCAGACTCCGCCCACCGAAGCGATGCAGTTCGCCTGACTTTCATGGGAAGTACAGGTGCTGGTCATAAAATTAGAATATCATGAAAAAGTAGATTGATTTCAGTAATTCCATTTAAAAAGTGAAACTTGTATATTATATTCATACATTACATACAAACTCATATATTTCAGATGTTTATTTTGTTTAATTTTGATGATTACAAATGACAACAAATAAAAATCTCAAATTCATCATACCAGAAAATTAGAATATTACTGAAGACCAATAAAAACAAAGGATTTATAGAAATGTTGGCCAACTGAAAAGTATGAACATGAAAAGTATGAGCATGTACAGCACTCAGTATTTAGTTGGGCCTCCTTTGGCCTGTATTACTGCAGCAATGCGGCGTGGCATGGAGTCGATCAGTCTGTGGCACTGCTCAGGTGTTATGATAGCCCAGGTTGCTCTAATAGTGGCTTTTAGCTCTTCTGAATTGTTGGGTCTGGTGTATTGCATCTTCTTCTTCACAATACCCCATAGATTTTCTATGGGGTTAAGGTCAGGAGAGTTTGCTGGCCAATTAAGAACAGGGATACCATGGTCCTTCAACCAGGTACTGGTAGCTTTGGCACTGTGTGCAGGTGCCAAGTCCTGTTGGAAAATGAAATCTGCATCTCCAAAAAGTTGGTCAGCTGCAGGAAGCATGAAGTGCTCTAAAACTTCCTGGTATGTGGCTGCGTTGACCCTGGACCTCAGAAAACACAATGGACCAACACCAGCAGATGACATGGCACCCCAAACCATCACTGACTGTGGAAACTTTACACTGGACTTCAAGCAACGTGGATGAAGTGCCTCTCTTCTTTTCCTCCAGACTCTGGGACCTTGATTTCCAAAGGAAATGCAAAATTTACTTTCATCAGAGAACATGACTTTGGACCACTCACCAGCAGTCCAGTCCTGTTTCTCTTTAGCCCAGGCAAGACGCTTCTGACGCTGTCTGTGGTTCAAGAGTGGCTTGACACAAGGAATGCGACAGCAGAAACCCATGTCTTTCATACGTCTGTGTGTGGTGGTTCTTGAAGCACTCACTCCAGCTGCAGTCCACTCTTTGTGAATCTCCCCCACATTTTTGAATGGGTTTTGTTTCACAATCCTCTCCAGGGTGCGGTTATCTCTCTTGCTTGTACACTTTTTTCGACCACATCTTTTCCTTCCCTTCGCCTCTCTATTAATGTGCTTGGACACTGAGCTCTGTGAACAGCCAGCCTCTTTAGCGATGACCTTTTGTGTCTTGCCCTCCTTGTGCAAGGTGTCGATGGTCGTCTTTTGGACAACTGTCAAGTCAGCAGTCTTCCCCATGATTGTGTAGCCTATAGAACTAGACTGAAAGACCATTTAAAGGCTTTTGCAGGTGGTTTGAGTTAATTAGCTGATTAGAGTGTGGCACCAGGGGCCATCAATTTTGAACCTTTTCACAATATTCTAATTTTCTGATATGATGAATTTGAGATTTTCATTTGTTGTCATTTGTAATCATCAAAATTAAACAAAATAAACATCTGAAATATATGAGTTTGTATGTAATGTATGAATATAATATACAAGTTTCACTTTTTAAATGGAATTACTGAAATCAATCTACTTTTTCATGATATTCTAATTTTATGACCAGCACCTGTATAAAACAGAAGCAGCCTCCCTGCAGTCAGAGAGGGTTTCTGTCTCTTTATTGTCACCTGGTTCCTCCGCCTGACAATAAACCGGAACCTTCTGAATATCCCAGAGCTTCAATCATTAAATTAAATGTCAGGAATCTGTGGATGATTAATGTTTATCAGAAGGAGCGTCCACCTAGTCCGCTGTGGCGTCCGTCACCCTGTACACCTTGTTGACCAGGACCTCCACTTCATCGGCGTCCAGCCGGCACAGGTCCAGAACGCACACCACGTGTTTGTCCTCCAGCTCCAGGGCCGTGGCCAGAATCTCCTCTGCAGGAAGGAAACCAGACTGTAACACTAAAGGCCTGAGATGCCGGGTCGGTCCGGTTCTGATGTAGCTACCTGACTCACGGAGTGTTAATCCTCGGCCCCTGGTTGCACCGCCGAGGGGGCAGAGGAGACCCGTCGACAGGAAGGACAGCAGGGAGTTGTCATGGGGATCCTGGCATAGGCCGACGGCCCGCGGATCGTCTGAGCAGACCACAGGGAGGAACGCTGCGTCTATGGCGATCTGCTGGTTGATCCCTGACAGAAAGTCCAGAGCAGCTCGATCAGAAGCGGGATTACAGGCAAAAAAGCATGAGACTGGTTCCTGGTTCAGGTTATCCAACAGAACCTGACCCGGTTTGATGGTTCCAACACAGCAGGAACCAGAGCTTTACCCAGTATGGTGAGCTGGAGGTGACCCGGGCAGGGCTGGGGGGGCAGGGGGGCGGCGGCCTCTGGACTCCAGCGGCTCGGCTGCAGGTTGCACCACTGCAGGAGGCCGTCCTTCTGGTCGGAGGAGAACCTGCGGGAGGCGCTGCTCTTGTGGGCGCCGCCTTCACTCAGATGCTCAGAAAGTCGCCTTCGCTGCTCTGACCACCTGCTGCTCTCCCAGGAGAGGGGGGCTGGTTCTAGCGGGGGGGACATGTGTTACAGCAGCAAACACGCAGCAGCGAAGCTAAGGACAGGAGAGACCACTCACCCCGAGCCTCCTCCTCCTCCTCCTCCTCCCTCTCTCCTGGTGGGGTTTGGTGCTCCGGCCTGGCGAGCAGAGACAGACGAGCAGAACCGGGTCAAACATTCATCCTACGGATCAAAACCTCACAGTTGGAGTTTAATCACCTTTCAGTCAAACTGCTGCGTCGTTTAAGGGAAGAAAAGATGTTTAGGATTGTTGGTCAGAACTTGGCTCACAAACATTAAACAGGAATAAAAACCAAAGCTGAACTGAATCCTCCTTTTCTTCGGGTCGGCCCGCCGCCGGTCGGTGGAGGGGGACGCTGGCGGGTCATCAGGAACCTGGACAAACCAGAAGCTTTCATGTCTCCGTTTGTCAGTGGAGATAAAACAGGCGGTGGGACTAAAGTCTGGTACCGGTGGGGCCCGGCAGGTCGTCTCTAGGTGGTGGACTGCTGCGATCTGGCCCTGAAGGGCCACCGTCTTATGCTCCCTGTACTGCAGGCTCTCTAGCTCCCTCTTCAGGTCAGACGCAGCAATCAAAGGAATTTGTCCTGGAAGTTAAAGCAAAGATAGAACCCAGAGTCTGCAGACAGAACCTGTTAAACGTTAAACCAGAACAAGAACCTGGAGAGTCCGCTGCTGATTGGACGAATCTCTGAGGGGGGGGTGGGTAGCAGTAGTGGCCCCCGACGGCGCTTTTCTGGAGGATCATGTTGTCCTTCAGGGTTTTGGTCCACTGAATGAAGCTCTTCACTCTGGGGTCGCTCAGGTATGGCCGTCCTTTGTGGTACCCTGGTACAGACGCACAGAACCCCCGCCCCCCCCCCCCCCCGGTCAGTCCAGTTCTGTTGGGGGTTAATGGACCGCTGCTGCAGCTGCACCCACCTGTGATGAAGATCTCTGTCTCACAGCTGCTGGTGAGGTACGGCGGGGAGTCCTCCACCTGACAGAGCCTCACCTGGGTGCACACCAGGTAGGTCACTATGGAAACGGTGGAGGGCGGGTCATTTAGTCATTGACCCAACTAAACATACATCTTCATTTCATTACGGACTCAGTTTTTAGGTCTGGACTTTGACTAGGACACTGTGGTTGTTTATGGTCAGAAGGTGAACCTCGGAACCTTGGAAACGAACGACAGGACGACTCACTTGGACAGATCTGGTTGAAGATTTCAGGTTGGGATGAGGAAAAGAGCTCCAGGATGAAAGGCTGATTGGATGTTCCGTCCACAGCGTGGACCCAGCGGTACGTCCAGAACCGTTCTGGACCTAAAATGTGGACATCAGAACCATGAAGACCCGAAACTTTAGCTGTGACGACGAAAAGAGATGATCTCTCACCTTTGTTTCCTTTACTTCTGACTCTTTCAACGCGACCAACGAACGTGACCAAACCGATGACATCACAAGCAGCACCAGCAGGGAGCCTGTCCAGTTCTGACCTGTAAAGACCATGAGAAACCAGGAACCGTTGAGAACGACTATCACTCCAAACCGGGGGATTGAGGTGTCGGTAAAAAGCGACCTGCTGGTGAACCTGTAGGCCGCCTCCGGCAGCCCCCACTGCGGTGGGACGGCCTTCTGGGAGACCACGGTGATGACGGCCGCGGGGTTACGAAGGTTCAGACAGATTTCTGGGAGGTAAAAAAACGTTTAAAGGAGAGAAAAAGATTCTGATCCAATACCTGAAGAAAAGACAGACTGATTCTGTGACGCTGCAGAGCCCGTACCCACGGAGGAGAAGTTTCTCAGCCTGTGGTGGTCCATCTGGGGGCGGGACCTGTTGGAATAGCTCTGCTTCAGGCTGTAGTTCTGCAGGTAGAGCACGGAGCCCACCGTCATCCTCTGGTAGAACTCCAGACAGAGCTCGTTCCACAGCACCAGAGACATGCAGCCGCTCTGATCGGCCACTTCGAAGTAAGCCTGAGGAGCAGAATGAGCAGAGAACATCAGGACCAGCAGGAGGAGCAGAGTTTGGTTATCAATGAGCTGCTGAGTCTAAAAGAAGCAGACTTTGGATAAAAACCAAAAGGACTCAATGAACTCAGTCCCAATCTGAAAACTATGAAGTTTATGTCAAATATTAAAGCTGTTCCGATTCCCTTTTATTTATACTTATTGATTTATTTAAGACTCGCTGACATAACTCTTTCTGGATGTATGAATCTTTGTTTGATTTCTTGATCAGTTTTTTTTTTTTCCGTTTCTTTTGGGTTTGATTTTTAAATCAATGACTTATGGCTGAATTAGAGCTCCTTTTCACAATTGATGAGGAAATAAAAGCCTTATTTAAACAATAGAGCTCACCTGGTAGGGGTAATCAATCCTCTGCCCAAACTTCCCATAATACCTCAGCCTGGATTTGTGGATTATCTTCACCAGGATAGGAAGAGGTTTCCAAGAGCCTCTGAAGGACGACTCCAGAGTGCTAAGAAGAGCCACCTTGGACACTGAAAGACGGATATTAGAACCATCAGGATTTTCTTTAATCAAAACATCCTAAGGAAGGACAGAGCTCAGATAAAAATTCACTTTTAAACATGTAATCAGGCAAACAATGACACCATGGCCTCTATGCAGCGGATCGCCAGGGTTCAGCAACGGGTGGGGGAGGGAGTTTTTGTAAAAATTATTTATAGCGGTTCATAACTGGAATCAGCAGGTCCAATTTTTATATATAAAAGCAGAAATCATTTTGCATTATTTATGTTTTTTAACCAAATTTACAGAGCTGCAAATATTTTACAAATCAAATAATCTGAGGATTCATTTGAACTAAATGTATTCATCTAAAAAGAGATGCTTTAATTAAATCAACAAACCTCAATAAACAAGTGCTTGAACTACAACAATTACTATTTACTCTAGAGCTAACAGTTTTCCCCAAAAATCTATATTGTGATGAATTTGAACCAATATTGCGATTTAATTTTTATTTATTTCAAGCTTGTAGAAGTTTCAGCCGAGGCTTTCTGTTTTTGAAAGCTTGCTTGCATGGAATCAATTGCAGATTTTACTGTAGCTTTTACATGAAAACGTTTTTAAAACTGCTGCATGCATGGATCTAGCCTTCTGTGTGAGGAAAAACCTGCTTTAAGCATTTTACTGCGTCCCAAAGGGCTGGAGTGAGACATTTAGTGTCATACTCTTGTAAAGTATATAATGCAAGTAAAATTGATTGCATCTGCCATTTGGAAATTATGTTTTGTTAAATTAGGATTTTATTGCAAAAAAGAATAAATAACCCAGCCCTAATTTACTCTACATTTAAAATAGTAGATTATGAAACCAAAACACTGAGAAATTTTCTTTAATACAAAATGTTTATATTTTTTATTTAGTTTTGGTTTGATTTCTGCTCTGGGTCAGTTGTTTAGAAAGCAAACGTCATGTTTTAGAGGTATAAACTTAATATTAATTCTTTTTTTCACTCGGTGACCAAGTTTATAATCGATTAATTTGATTAAATGTTTCAGCCCCGATAATGTGTTTTAAACTTCTCTAATTTCTCACGCTCAGATGTTTTTATTTTGTTCCAATACAACAGAAACAATAAAATGATGTGATCTGGTAAAGTTGATTGATTGATTGACTTGATCTTACAGTGGAGAAATTTACTCCTTACATCAGCTCAAATAGTCAAAGGAGAAGAAGGTGCATAGGCTATATATAGTTTATCATTGCTAGTTTAGATGATTTTTTGGGTTTAAATTAATTAAAATAATTTAAAATAAACATATTTAGATATAGTTAAAATGATCTAAATGTAAATTATATAAATGTGAGAAATCTAAAATAGTTTTGATTACTTTAAAGTTCCAGAACGTTTAAAGGGAATAAAAACAACTTTCTTTTCATAAATTCTTCTTAGTTTTTTTTTTTTAAGGAGGTCCAGTTCTGGGTCAGAACTCACCGTCCAGCACCGGTTCTGCCGCAGCCTGAGCCGGGCTCCACATGTCCCCCTCCGGATCGTCGTTGTTCCAGAGGGGCAGGTAGTGTTTCCGGCTCACCTGGAGGGGCGTGTCCCCCTGCAGGTCCGCGCTCCGCTCCATACCCTGTTTGACCAGCAGGGGGAGCGAGCTGACGTCTGAGATGCGGGGCAGAACCGCGGACGGTTCTGCGATGCATTCCACCTTCTCCACACAAATAAATCCATGACCCAATCTCCTCTCATTGTAAACAAAGGAGCACTGCCTGATGCTGATGTCACTCCCAGTCCTCAGGGCGTTTCTGTTCACCAACTGGTTCAAACTGGGATGGAGGAAGCATTTGGCTCTCCAGACTCGGTCAGTGATCGTCACATCGTAGCTGTCCAACTGCTGCTCCTGGTTCTGACCGTCGGTGGGTTCGGACAGATACCGCCGAAGGGCCACGATAGCAACGGGATCCGCTTCCTCAGCGGAGAGTTTCAGGCTCTGAGTGGAAGATAATCGCCCCAACGTCCTCTGAAGGAAAGAGTCCTGAGCTACCAACGAAGAAGAGGCGCTCTCCATCCCTGACAGTTAGCTTAATAACCGTTAGCTCATGTTAGCTCGTTTACCTCGATGTGTTTCACTAAAAAGAAAGGCTACTCATCCCAACTGACGAAGTATCACAAATTTGTTTATAATTAGTACTTTGCACTGCTAAAATACAGAACACTTATTTTGGAGCAAACAGTTCAGAGTCAGGGACGCTCCGTTAACTGAGGTAACCGAAAGCTAACCTCACAAACAGTTTGGAGCTCTTTGATGACGTCATTATCTTCATAACAGAAACCCTACCGCAGTTAAAAAACAACCATTTCCCCGCATCAAAGTACTTCACCCACATCGACATAAAAACGGTGTAAACAGGAGGCTGCTGTTTTAAAATCCGCGCTAAACTAGTGCGCAAGAGCTCGTTTTGGTGACGTAATCAATGCGACGTATGGGGTACGGCATGCAATTGTAACATTTAATGAAACCTCGCTTTAAATAAATAACAAAATAAATACTTTTGTGTAAATGTAAAGATAACTTACAAAACAATATAAGCAGAAGCAAATTTCCTTGTGTCCAGTGTTCTAGGAAAATGTTTTAAAAAAATATTTTGTTGATTTTATTTGTTGGTATCTTTTAAGTCCATTGATAAGGCTCTATTGATAATTACAGAAGAAGAGTGAGGTTCTATGCATTTTTCTAAAAAAATATTTAAATGAGGGTTATAGATTTTGTTATTATTATTGCCATTGATGAATGGCATTCCATGAACAACATTGAGAGAAAAGAAAACAGACAACCATCCAGATGAGGAAAAGCAAACAGTGCTTTGCTGTTAAGTAGGTTTCTATGGTATACTGGGAGCTTACCAGGTTGAAAACAATTTGGTACGATGCGATACTGCGGTAGGCAGCACAAGGAAGGGAGTCTGCTATGAAGCCATCATTCAGAGCTGGTCACTGCTGCACTTTGGGTCAGAATAGATCCGATAGCAATTGCTACAAAACACCATTAATCTATTTAATAAGTAGATTATTGTTACTAAGTAGCTCAGACCAAGGGTGTAATTTTGTAATAAGATTTGGTGGGGACACTCGAGTGGTGGCTGATGGACCTATAGTTACTCGAACCAAACACTCATCAGGTTTTAGTATTTTACAAAAATGAGCTCAAACATATATTTATTGAACACTTTCCTATTGTTGAGAACACAATAGAATCATCATACAATGATATTTATAGATAGTTAGATTTTTTTATCTATCTATCTATATATATATATCTATATATATATAGATATATATATATATCTATATATATATAGATATATATATATATATACACTGACCGGCCACTTTATTAGGTACCCCATGCTAGTAACGGGTTGGACCCCCTTTTGCCTTCAGAACTGCCTCAATTCTTGGTGGCATAGATTCAACAAGGTGCTGGAAGCATTCCTCAGGGAGTTTGGTCCATATTGACATGATGGCATCACACAGTTGCCGCAGATTTGTCGGCTGCACATCCATGATGCGAATCTCCCGTTCCACCACATCCCAAAGATGCTCTATTGGATTGAGATCTGGTGACTGTGGAGGCCATTTGAGTACAGTGAACTCATTGTCATGTTCAAGAAACCAGTCTGAGATGATTCCAGCTTTATGACATGGCGCATTATCCTGCTGAAAGTAGCCATCAGAAGTTGGGTACATTGTGGTCATAAAGGGATGGACATGGTCAGCAACAATACTCAGGTAGGCTGTGGCGTTGCAACGATGCTCAATTGGTACCAAGGGGCCCAAAGAGTGCCAAGAAAATATTCCCCACACCATGACACCACCACCACCAGCCTGAACCGTTGATACAAGGCAGGATGGATCCATGCTTTCATGTTGTAGATGCCAAATTCTGACCCTACCATCCGAATGTCGCAGCAGAAATCGAGACTCATCAGACCAGGCAACGTTTTTCCAAACTTCTATTGTCCAATTTCGATGAGCTTGTGCAAATTGTAGCCTCAGTTTCCTGTTCTTAGCTGAAAGGAGTGGCACCCGGTGTGGTCTTCTGCTGCTGTAGCCCATCTGTCTCAAAGTTCGACGTACTGTGCGTTCAGAGATGCTCTTCTGCCCACCTTGGTTGTAACGGGTGGTTATTTGAGTCATTGTTGCCCTTCTATCAGCTCGAACCAGTCTGGCCATTCTCCTCTGACCTCTGGCATCAACAAGGCATTTCCGCCCACAGAACTGCCGCTCACTGGATGTTTTTTCTTTTTCGGACCATTCTCTGTAAACCCTAGAGATGGTTGTGCGTGAAAATCCCAGTAGATCAGCAGTTTCTGAAATACTCAGACCAGTCCTTCTGGCACCAACAATCATGCCACGTTCAAAGTTACTCAAATCACCTTTCTTCCCCATGCTGATGCTCATTTTAACTGCAGGAGATTGCCATGTGATTGGCTGCTTAGAAATTAAGTGTTAACGAGCAGTTGGACAGGTGTACCTAATAAAGTGGCCGGTGAGTGTATATCTATCTATCTATCTATCTATCTATCTATCTATCTATCTATCTATCTATCTATCTATCTATATATATATATATATATATATATATATACACTATATTGCCAAAAGTATTTGCTCACCTGCCTTGACTCACATATGAGCTTAAGTGACATCCCGTTCCTAATCCATAGGGTTCAATATGACGTCGGTCCACCCTTTGCAGCTAGAACAGCTTCAACTCTTCTGGGAAGGCTGTCCACAAGGTTTAGGAGTGTGTTTATGGGAATTTTTGACCATTCTTCCAGAAGCGCATTTGTGAGGTCGCACACTGATGTTGGACGAGAAGGCCTGGCTCTCAGTCTCCGCTCTAATTCATCCCAAAGGTGTTCTATCGGGTTGAGGTCAGGACTCTGTGCAGGCCAGTCAAGTTCATCCACACCAGACTCTGTCATCCATGTCTTTATGGACCTTGCTTTGTGCACTGGTGCACAGTCATGTTGGAAGAGGAAGGGGCCAGCTCCAAACTGTTCCCACAAAGTTGGGAGCATGGAATTGTCCAAAATGTCTTGGTATGCTGAAGCATTCAGAGTTCCTTTCACTGGAACTAAGGGGCCAAGCCCAGCTCCTGAAAAACAACCCCACACCATAATCCCCCCTCCACCAAACTTTACACTTGGCACAATGCAGTCAGACAAGTACCGTTCTCCTGGCAACCGCCAAACCCAGACCCGTCCATCAGATTGCCAGATGGAGAAGCGCGATTCGTCACTCCAGAGAACGCGTCTCCACTGCTCTAGAGTCCAGTGGCGGCGTGCTTTACACCACCGCATCCGACGCTTTGCATTGCACTTGGTGATGTATGGCTTGGATGCAGCTGCTCGACCATGGAAACCCATTCCATGAAGCTCTCTGCGCACTGTTCTTGAGCTAATCTGAAGGCCACATGAAGTTTGGAGGTCTGTAGTGATTGACTCTGCAGAAAGTTGGCGACCTCTTCGCACTATGCGCGTCAGCATCCGCTGACCCCGCTCCGTCAGTTTACGTGGCCTACCACTTCGTGGCTGAGTTGCTGTCGTTCCCAAACACTTCCATTTTCTTATAATACAGCTGACAGTTGACTGTGGAATATTTAGGAGCGAGGAAATTTCACGACTGGATTTGTTGCACAGGTGGCATCCTATCACAGTTCCACGCTGGAATTCACTGAGCTCCTGAGAGCGACCCATTCTTTCACAAATGTTTGTAAAAACAGTCTGCATGCCTAGGTGCTTGAATTTATACACCTGTGGCCATGGAAGTGATTGGAACACCTGATTCCAATAATTTGGATGGGTGAGCAAATACTTTTGGCAATATAGTGTATATACACATACAGGGCCCAAAAATATTAAATTATAAAAATTATAAAAAAAATAACAAAAATAACTAACAGCCGATTCTGATGCCAAAATCGATATATCATGCATCCCTAATATGGACAATTTCAATTCCATCCATCCAGAAAAAGATGGATATGCTGCATTTTAAATATAGCATATATTTATTTTCTTGTAAAATTTTCTGGTACTTTCTGATAAACTTGGTGATATTTTTATTGCATGTTGCATATCCCAGTAAATCTGTTTCACCTTAAATCTGCAGCTCTTCCTATTTCTCTCTGTGCTCTGTTTAAAAAGATTTATGAACCTCTTTATAAATATGATGGCAGAAGCAAAGTTTCAAGATAGAAGCTCTGCAGTCTGATTCTGTCAGTACTATAAGACAACGTGTTAATCTCAACCCGTAACTGTGACTCATGGTCCTCTGAGAAGCCAAGCTTTTTTAACAAATAAAGAACATATACACTATGTTTTCTCAAGCTTCTTGCATTATAATACTAACTTGTATAAACTTACAACCTGTTTCCATTTTTAGCTGAAAAACGTCTGCATGTCTAACAGATTTTTCAGTGGCATCTCTAATTTTTTTAACCAACCAGTCTCCTAACTTTTACCTAAACCTTCATCAAAGTAACTCCTGTTTAATGCTGCTGTGTCTCTCCTCGAACCATGTAACTACTTTGTACATCAGTGAAATGCGACCGCAAATCGGATTTCTCAAAGCGACAGATTTGATGATATTTTACTGAGAGGCGGGACATGGGAGCAGCCCGAGAGATGAAAATACAAACACTCAAAACGCTCTGAACAGAGTTAGCTGAACCCAACCTCGGTTACCATTGGCTAAAGTAAATGAACGGAAAGGGGGGAAAAGAGGAGATTACACCAGAGACGTAGGCACATGGGCGGTTCTAGACAGGGGCCAACAGGGGCCTGTGCCCCTGTAGCTCATGTCTTGGCCCCTGTACCGAAGACATAATACTGGATCTGCGCTGGAACAGACAGGGTCTTTTGGATCTATTTATTTTTTCTAAAATGTATTTTTATTTTACAAATTCTGTTTTACTAATTATTTAAAAACAAAAAGGCGATAGCTTCAGCGGCATTGAAATAGAATCCAAGTTTTCATCTGCTAAATGATTTTTTTTTTTTTCAAAACAAATTAAAAAAAAATTTTTTTTGCAGCTACATTTATCAGTTTTTCTTGAGTTCTAATTCATATTTTACAGAAAACGTAATTTTTACTTATATTATGTCAAAAATATGTAAAATTCCTAAATTATGAATATATATTGACCTAATAAGACACAGAATTTTAATTAAACCTAATTGAATAAAAAAAAATGTCTCTTCATTTCATGCTTTTCTGGGCCCCCATGAAAAAATGCTGGCCCCCTCCTGGCCCCCTGGTACATTTGGTCTAGAACCGCCACTGCGTAGGCAGACATTTTTTCTAAGGTTGGCCGGGCAATAACTGAAAATGGATAAGCACCAGAACCTCATGGTCAATCTACACTGTTCCAAAAGGAAAATGAGTGAAACAAAACATCCATATTTTCTAAATAAAGACAAACTATACATTCCCTTGCCCCCATCTAGCTCCGCCCCTGGTCCACACTCAGACCTGTGCTGGAGCCTCAAAGCTCTTTGCTTGGCTTCTTTCGGAGCTCAAGGCTTTTGATATTATCCAGCCTTTAAAATATTCACACAACCGTATAATGTCTGTCTGCTTGTTCCAAAACAAAAACATTTAAAATTAAACGGATAGCAACTAGTTGTGATTTTGTTATTGTGCTAAACAGCACAGCTCAAAAACACTGAATGTGACCACAGACACTAGAAACTAGAAATTACTAAATGTACTTTCCCAATGCAACTTTTTTTGTTTTCTGTAACGATTCAGATTTTGACCCGAGAAGAAGACTCTGGTTTCCTTCATAAACTACAGTCCCAGGATGCTTTGCGCGCTCGGCAGCATTTCTTGTCGACGTGGGAAGGGAGGGATTCGGACACAAACAAATGCCTCCGGTTCTGCTCCTTGGGTTTTTTTTAGGGGAGGCAGTGACATGTCAGGAGGATTTACATGAAAACTCGGTCACGGTATAAACATGTGGCTCAAACCTGAAGAAATCCTGCTGAAAAACGCCTTTAAACTGTGGGTCACCGAGAAAGATAATGACTACTTCGTTCTGCAAAGGAGACGGGGGTACGGAGAGGGGGGCGGCGGACTGACAGGTAACCTTAACGGCTTGGTGTTAACCCCCCCTCTGCTGCTGCTGTGGAGCTGCTGCTTTAGCAGCTTAGCTAATCATATTTAAACACTAGTTAATTATCCATTAACAGTCAGTCATTGCTTATTAGCTAGTGTGCTGTTCAAAGGGGCTAACAGCTCCAGGAAAGCAGTATGTTTGCAACAGGTTGGATTCAAAGGGTTTATAATCAGCTGATGATAAACAGCTGGGTCTGAATGAGTTAATAATTGTGGATAAATGTAAGATATTTGATTCCTTGTCAACCCAGAGATACATTAGACTTCAGGTGTTTCCCCTTTGAGAAAGCGAGTTTAGAAGTTATAACTTTGCAAAAACAACAAACCAAACCACATATGTCCACATTCAGTTAACATATTTAGCAAATAAGTTAACAAATAAGGATTAATTGTAATCAATCGATTATTGAGATTGGCTTTAACTACGTAATCAATTAAATATTAAGTGGAGTATAGAGACTCTGAACACACCATTAAATCAAAGGACAGCCTACTGAGGCCAGCAATTATGATGTAATTGTTAAAAAAAGGATTTTAAATATTTGAAAAGTAAAATCTAGAAAATCTGTTTTTTAGAGTTTGATTTCTGGATTGTATTCTTTTTATTTCCGAATTGCTTGATGTGTTCTTTGCAACAATAATGGAACTAAAGTAACTCCATACAGTTGCACCAATCCAGCTAAACTCCAATTTGTGTCTCATTAAGATAAAGGAATAACATTAGAACATAGTTAAAGCTTAAAAAAAGTGGATTTTGGGTTAAATAGGCTCTTTTAAAGGAGTCCTAGATGTCAATTATCACAGAAGTGATAATAGTTCTGTAATGACTGCAGAGGATTAAAGATTAGGGCTTATGTGGCTTTATTGTAGTGGTTGTTATGGCGACATTTGTTGTTTTCCTCATCTTCTTTTGTTGCAATAATTCAGCTTTACGTGTCTGAGCAGGAGCCTTACTCTTAACTAGGGCCGGACACCATTAATATCACAGATTTATTGTTGTAGTTTGACCTATGAATATCACAAAGAGCTGCTGGTATGGCAGTACATGTTGGCAAATTATTCAATGTGTTTGTTCTCAGGCTCTCTGTGACGCTTACAGCAGAATGAAAGGTTTTAGTTTTTTACTGGATCGGCAGACGTTGGACAGAAGCAACTTTGCTAGTAAAATCTTGTGGCTCAGCTGGAAATAATGATTGTTTTTGTTCTTTTTCCAGTTGCTGGGTAGGCTGTCTGTTATCTGAGGTCAATATTTGCTCTAAAAAGAGGCAGAAAAAACAAAAACTAGTTTTATTTATCTGTTGCTTGCTATATCATCGTCATCATCTTGTCATTCACCGGGATTTATTGTTTTTTAATTTTCAATTGATAAATCAGTTTGGGTTTTTTGCCAGCATATTATTATCATTACATTGTCACAAGTACAGTATAACGAAATTAACTCTTTGCATTTAATCCATCCCCTTGGGAAGCAGTGGGCTGCCACTGTGGGGCACCCGGGGAGCAATCAGGGGTTAAGGGTCTTTGCTCAGTGTGGCAGTCTGTGGGAGTGGGGCTTGAACTCAGAACCTCTGGATTCCAAGCTCTATACCCTAACCACCAGGCCACCCCTCCCCTGTTGTTCAAAAATGAAGCAAATATGGACATAAGTCTTTTCAGCTCTTAAATAGGCCTGGAGATCTTCCTATTTGGATAATAATAATAATAATTCAATTTTATTGATCTCACACTGGAGAAATTCACTCTGCATTTAACCCATCCCCTTGGGGAGCAGTGGGCTGCCGTCTTGCGATGCCCGGGGAGCAGTGTGGGGTTAATGTTCTTTGCTCAGGAATGCAGAGTGCAGGCTGTGGAGATCCAACCTGCTCAGAGGACAAGCGCACTGCTCTAACCGCTAGGCCAACACTCCCCTAAAGGATGTTTCCTTACTCCCAAAACCTTTGTTTTTATTTAGCTTTTTCAAATTTCCATTACTTAAACATGTTCTGTTCTTTCATTGTTACTGGAACAAATTTCTCTCCATACACCAGAAGCATGTGCATGTTGATTTCTGAGGTTAGATTTGACTTCATATAATAAAACAAATGAAATATATCCAAAGTTAGCTTAATAGATTTACACAAGATCTGTCAAAGATTGAAGTTTTTGAAGACTAAAAATGTACATTCATTAATTGTGGTTGTAAAGCGAAGTGAAACAAACGCAGCGACTAAATAGTTTCAAAATATTTACATCACTTCCCTCCAGTTAGAATCCAAAACCCAAACCTTGCAGCCATGTCGACCTCAGTTCCCTGACAATAAATGCATCAGAAGCTTTTTGACACTTATTAAGGTCGACAGCATCTGAGTTTGCTTCCATCATTGCTTTGCAAAAAATAAATGTAAAGCAGGGAGAAAAAACAATAAGTTGGACAGAAAGTCAGAATAAATGTGTCGTGTTTTAAAGGTTGTTTCACCAAAACCCAGAAACTTCATCTCCAAGAGGAAGAACATTTGGATGGACTTTTTATTGAACTTTTAATTAGATGTGCATAAACTACAGAATATACTGAAGGAAACTCTTGTTTGTTATATTTTAAAAAGCAGCATGCTTTACTGAAAAATGTAAAAAAGACAGACAGACGCCAACAATGACATGTAGATAGAAAATAATAACAGCTAAAGCTCAGCAGGAATGAAACGACTCAGAAGACTCTGGCTTTTTTTTCTCTGATCCAGTACGATTCCTCAGCTGAGCTTGTCGGCCGATACCGATCCAATCCCACTGCTGAATGGATGAACTGAAAACTAGAGCTGCACTGATTAGATCGATGCAGCTCTACTTTTCAATTTAGATTTAAAAGCTTTTAAAGACGTCACTCCCTGGACTCAAACCTTAGGAACTAAAAGCTGATCAGTTCTGGGAACCAAAGCGGCTCTCTAGTGTGCAGACGGTTCAAATGTGACCCGTAACTCTGAGCTGCTTTAGGCCCAGGGTTTTAGCTAGCAATGAGTGTGGGCAGTTCTTGTACGCCCTATTTTTGGGGATGTACGGTTTTGGTACGCCTTAATTTTCAGATCAGAGAAGCCGATCTGTGAGCTGGCAGGTTTATTAATGCCTAAATTAACTTAAAATGTTTGAACCTGCTGGCAAAATATGTTTACTTGTATCATCCTGGTGCCAGCAGTTTGTACCACATACCTGTAATGCTACGTTCACACAGGACGCAGCAAGAGCAGCAAAATCGCGTCTGCTGCTTCATTTTTGCTGCTTGTACCAGTTAGTTCTGACACGCGGCTGAAGCAGCTTTGCTGCTCTGGCTGCGCGGTGCAAAAGTGGGTCTGATTCGCGTTGGGTGGAGCTACTCTATCCTTTCTCTGCCTTGCAGCTATATTTGCTGTGATCAGTGGGAATAAAGTAGTTTTAATATGTTTTTAAGTGAGAAAATCCACCTGAAAACTTATTCAGTGCAGTCAGTTCATCCAGATTACATCCCGCCTTCCAGTATTATTTCTGTCGGAGCCGCTCAGACCCCCACATACCAGCGGTGCGCCGACAGTAGGAATCCCTTCATCAGCAGCCTCTGGCCGGGTCGCCTCCTCGCGGTTCACCGCGGCAGCTGGTAGGTGTTTTTCATCTAAATAATCTATACTGCAGGCACCAGGATAATAAAAGCAAACATATTCTGCCAGCAGATTTCTGCATTTTAAGTTAATTAAGGCGTCAAACTGTTTCAGAGGAGTGATCACAGCGCTGTGTCTGTCTCACGGCCAGCTCCCAGATCAGCATCTATGATTGGTTGATGCGGCGCGTCGAGCAGCAAAAGTTCAATTTTTCCATCTCGAGCAGCAGCGCGTTTGCGGCGCGTCACACACGTTTTCCTTCACACTGTTGCACGAATCCTACCGAACATCTTCTGTGTTTTAGGGCGGTAACCGCAGACTTCATTCACATTTAGGGATTTATTTTCAGCCACGTTGTGTCCAGCTGAGTGCTGATCTGTACTTTAAGAAGAAAAGCAGTGACTCATTGCTCTCTTTCTCTGTGTTCCTGCTTAAACTGGAGGATATTCTGATCATGGCCGTGACTCAGTGGATGAAAGGGTCTGCGGTTCTGAGCTGATGGATATAAAGTGGAGTTAGGTGGCTTTTAAAGGTCTACACACCCATATGGAAAAATAAAATGTTATTTAGAAATGCTAATTATTGATTAATAAATTAATCTTAGGTAAATTGATTTTAATGAGTATTAATTGATAAACGGCCATTGTCTTAAAAGCAATAGAATCCTTCCATAACCTGACATTTTTTTCTTTCTTTTTTTTTACAATTTGCTGAATTAAAAGAAATAATACATCACTGGCTTTTAAACATTTATTGTTCCTGCTTTAATAAATACTGACTGAATAAAAAAATTGCTTTCTTAAACATTATTAAACTTATTTAGAAGATATACGGTAATAAATCCGGAAACTTTTAGGTTACCGAATAAAATAAGATGCCTTATTTTCTGGACTATAGAGCCTCGCTATAAGCCACGCCCACTACATTTTATTACATCTATAAGCGACACCAGGCTATAAGGTGCTAATATCTAGTGAACTGTCTCCCTCCAAACCTGTAGGGGGAGCTCTACATATAGTCCCTGGAGTAGGGAAGAAGAAGAGTGCCAACTCCTGTTAGCTTGTTGGCTCACAGCAGTTAGAGCTTCTAATGAAAGATGGGGCTTCATCAGCTCTTTATTTCAGTTCTGCAGGAGTTGAGCTCAGTCTCTTCATTGGTTCTGCAGCTTTAATGTGGCTAATAAATGTCAAAATCTGTGAATTTTGACATTTGCTCTCCGTCGTGCCTGCTGCTAGCATGTTCTTGTGCTAAATGAAAATTTAGCTCCTTATTCTTTCATTTCCAACTTTGACATCCCCCTCTGGCGGTTAGAAAAAATCCACAGAAAAGCTGCACTATCTTATAAACCGCGTGGTTCAAAGCGTGGGAAAAAGTAGTGGCTTATAATTCAGAAAATACGTTATATCAGACAATAGGATCCCAGTTTTTATCTGCTAAATGTTTTTTATTTCACAACACATAGAAAATGCTCTAATGTTTACAGATGAATTTAACAGTTTTAATAAAATTTTTTTAGAAAACAGTAGTTTTAACTTAAATTAAGTCAAAAATATGTAAAATTACTAAATTATAAATGTATATTGACCTCATAAGTAATAGAATTTTTTTTTTAACCTAATTGAAAAGAAATTTCATTTTATGCAGCTCTCTTTATATATTTGAATCTCTTGCCCTGTTTTTTATTTCATGCTTTTCTGTTCCCCCATGAAAACACGCTGGCCCCCTCCTGGACCCCTGGTACATTTGGTCTAGATCCGCCACTGTTCCTCACCTATAATAGACGTGGATATACTTTAGTATATTCTGCTGTAAAATTAGTCCTATTTTTTCGTTATTTACTCGAGGATTCAACCTCTGCTGTTTCACAGGATGCACAGCTTTGAGTGGTAACTAGGTGACTGCCAGACAGTAACCCAGAGAAACGTATCGGACTGATCCAATCAGCTCTCTGATAACCAGTCGCCTCGACCGCTCGTTGAACAGAGCATCGCTTCTGACAGATACGCTGCACAGGTTTCACCAACAAGCTCCTCCCCACACCCCGCTCTCTCTTGTAGTTCTAATCCACACATGGTGCACAAATTATTGTATTGCCTGCCCGCTCTCACTTGCATTAAAAGAACACCATGTCGCATAGTCTAAAATCCGGGATAATTTATCCGACTCAAGGACATCTGTGAACAACTATTGATATCAGGGAGACTCCCGGAACTTCCGGGAGACTTTGGATGTCTGTTATATAGCATTTGTAAAAGTTTTTTAATTTCCAACAAACATTGATGTAGAGCTATCATTAACAGACAAGGTATGTCAGATTGTTTTCTACATTGTTTTAATGAAATAGTCTCTAGCTGTGATGTAGCTCTATGTTTTTAGTCTTATCCACTAATCAGTGTTTGAAAAGACATTGTCCTGTTAGCATAGCTTTTAAACAGGTGGTTCTGTTTCCCCTCAGAGGTTAAAATGTGGCTCCATGAAGGTCAATAACTCATAAAGACTTCTTCATCTACCATGCTAACTGCTAGCATGTCTTCTTCTACCCTGATCCAAACATTTAGCGTAATGTCCTCCACTTTTCTACCATCCTCTCCTTATGATCCCAGCAGAGGAGTTCTGCTGCTCCTCCATGCAGCGCCGCTAAACGGGCCCATTTAGGAGAACTAAAGGAGTTTCTACAGAGTTTAGATTCACTATCAGAACCATAGAAAGTTCATTCTGGATCCTTGGATCCATCAAACAGTGGAAATAATCGGGATCGGACTCTGGATCAGGCTTTTAGCTAGCAATGTGTACGGGCGTACATTCTTCGCCCATAAGGTGTAAACCTTATGAAATATTCCTAGTTAAAAGCCTGACTGGATAATTCATGGCTCTGCTTTAGCATCAGTTATTTTGCAAATAGTGATGTTCCGCTTAAGAATGATCAGCTATGCCTTCTGGTGGATAACCGTGACATTACAATCCTGAAGAGAATTTCTTACTGGATATGATCAGTTGATCGGATGGAACAAACTTTAAACTAATAAACCATTAATGAATAATCATGAGCAAAAAGCTCTGAGATCGTCATCATGATCTCTGGAGGGAGCCACCAGAGATGTAGAAGATCTGGGAATGTCCCCCTCCAATTAGGGATATCCCGATAGCAGCTGTGTATTCCTACATTCAATATTGATATCGGAAATCCATTTGATATCAGCCACAAAAAAAGACAAATACCAGGTTTTATCAGCCTACATCTAAAATCATTGATAACAGTAGCTGATAGAAACCCTCTGCTTCTGTTCAGGTTCTGTAACCTGCTGGTTCCTGATAAATGGGTCAGTTGTTGTCAGACCTGTTGACTATGTTTCTCAGAGTAAAATCACTGCATTAAACCTCTAATATTTCTCACACACACACAAACACACAAAAAAACAAGAAATAAAGTTGCCTGATTTGTGCCGATATCGGTCAATAATCAGTGCTGCAATATCTGTATCATGAGAGAAATGAGTTATCAGGGTAAGGAGCTGTTCCTCAAAAACCTCTCTGGAAAAGATGCTGCTGCTCTAGAGCTGAAAAGTCCTTTTTTGTGGTTAGGATTATAAATAGGCCTGATTGGCTGCTGATGGACCGGCTGATGAAACCTTCTTATCTACTAGTGCGGAGCTCTGAAATTCAGCCACTGTCAAAATTTCAAACATATCATTTTTACCTGAGAGCGTCACAATTACTGCAGTTAAAACGTTTTTTGTTTTTTCGCAGATATTTTTCTTTTTTCCCAATAAAATAAGATCTATTGTATAACTGGTCTAAATCAGAAATCAGCATGACAGGCTTTTTAATGATCGGCCAGAAAGCCATTTTCAGTCGTAAATAGTTTTTAAGGTCTTGTAGATCATAAACATCTAGATAGGAAATCACCATCTGTTTCTTTTCCTCTCTAAAGGACAATTTAAGCATAATTTAAAGCTTAAATATTTGTAGATAAACTGAAGCATAGAGAGTAGACAGATTTGTTTTAACATGACAAATCAGCTTCTCCGTAAAAGCTTTGTCTGTTTTTTGTTTCATGAGATGATAAATGTGGGTACTGATGTAAAACCAGGTTTGTCCAGGTATAAATAGTTGCCGACTAACCTCACCTCAGACCTGATTTATTCAGTGAATCATATCAGGAAGGTGTTTCAATCAGACGCCTGTGTTTTAGCCTTGCTATGAAGTGCCTGAATGGTGGATGTGCCAAACGCCCTAGCAGTTGGCAGCTGATTTTGAGCCCATATGTGCAGCAGAGAGCAGGCCGGCTGCTCTGATACCGATTCAGTCCCTTAAGAATTAGATCAGGGCGACCTTGTTAATAATTCATTGAGAGCCGGACAGAGAGGTGGTGGAAAGGTAACAGATTCAGCTAAATTTAGCTGTATTCACATCAGCTGCTGGTTTAAAGCCAAATTGAGATTTAAAAAAGAAATTAATCGGTAAGGGACTGTTAGCTGCATTTTGGCCATAAAACGAGGACTTGTGATTCTTCTCATCCATGAGTCAGATGTTTCTCTGCTGATTTGTTCTGGTTCTGTATCTGCTGTGTTTTACAGGCCTGCTGGTGGGAACTCTGGATACGGTGCTGGATTCCACGTCCAAAGTGGCTCCATACCGCATCCTGCACCACACTCCGGACTCCCAGGTCTACTGGTCCATAGCCTGCGGTGCGTGGCGGGTTCACCTGGTTCTAACATCTTTAGAATCCGCTCTAACTGTTTAAAACCAGAAGTAAAGTAATAAAGTGAAGGCGTCTTTTGTTTTTTCTGCTGCTCATCCAGGGGTCAGCAAGGAGGAGATCGGGCAGCACTGGGACTGGCTGCAGCAGAACATCATGAGGACTCTCTCTGTTTTTGACTCCACTGAAGATGTCACCAGCTTCGTCCAGGGGAAGATCAGAGTAAGGCCTATGGTGGTGCAGAACAAAAGTTTTAATTCTACTTTAAAAAAAAAAAAACAGAAATAACTGCTTTCTAAATGTTGAGTGTCCAAAGTTACCATGCCTGTTTTATGTGATAAGTTATCCTTTTTTCAGCACCAGTCTGATTAAAGCAGTAAACTAGTTTACCTTCCTCTAGGTTGTCCAAATGACATCTATTATCATACGTTTCATTTTGGTTTTTTTTGTTTAATAATTTTTCTTCCTAGTTTTCATTTGTAAACAGTTTTCTAATCATTTGACTTTAGGGCCTTATCGCTGAAGAGGGGAAGTCCTCCCTAGTGCTGGAGGATGATCCAGAGAAGTTCAGAGAAGCTCTCCTGAGGTTTGAAAAGTGGTTCGAGCTGCCCCCCCAGGAGAAGCTGGTCACCTATTATTCCTGCAGCTACTGGAGAGGCAAAGTGCCATGCCAGGGATGGCTCTACCTCAGCACTAACTTCCTGTGCTTCTACTCCTACTTTCTGGGATCTGAAGGTGAGCAACGTCTGCGTCGATGAGAGCAGAAATCTACTGTCGCTGCTCGCAGCTCTGCTTTCCTGAAGGGGCAGGGAGTTATTATAGCTAAGCCGCACCATGGGCTTAAAAAGGTGTGAGGACTGTTGGCAAGGGCTGAACTGTGGCAGACGGATGTGAAAACATTTAATTTAAGAAAAGGCAAGAGCAGTTCCATAGGACAGATGAGAGTAGGTGTGTTTCCATCAGCTTTTTTAACGTATCAGATCAGAAAAGCTTGATGGAAATGGCAAAATAACAATAAAAACTCTCTCAAATCCACAAAAAGGTATTGTCGCCCACTTGAGGTGGTTTTGGGGTTTTGCAAAAAAGGTTAGATGTGTAAAACAGGAGATGGATAAACATGGTCGTCTCGCTAACAACCAGCATCTGGCTATAAAAGCTGGTCTAACCCTTCGCTGGCAGCTGCATGGCCCCTGTCCTTTGATGTCACCAGTGTGACAGAAATCAGGAAAGTAAACAATGTAGAGCAACATGGAAGTAAGCCAGGGCATAGTCAATGTGCTTTATTGTTTCGCTCTATAATCTGTCTGAACCCCCCTCACCAGAGCTGCTCCATGTTTATCAAATGTAAACAGAGTTGTTTCTGCTTGTTAGATCAGAAGCGACCGGCACGGTGTGTTGATGTTCAATGGTATCAAGTAATTTAGCAGGTCAACCCAGCTCTGGTGTTCCCACAGCATGCCGATCAGAGCAGGTCGATTTTAACGCTTGCCACCTGCTGAGTCGTTTGACCTGAGTAGACTGTATGTCTGTTTTTGTCTTCTTGAACCCCAGTCAGCCCTTAGCAGATGGCCGCTACAAGTATGCTTGGAGTGAGGGATTGACTTCGAGTCAATGAGTCGATGCAATCAACTGGTTTTCCTTAGATAGAAAACTTTGAATCAATTTGACTGTATGATCTGGTTTAATTATAAAGTGCCTTGGGATGACGTGCTGTGAATTGGAGCCAAAAAAAAAAAATTTAATTGAAACTGAATAAACATGTGTCAATGAGTTGCTGCCATTGCTACTAAAAGGTCATTTGTCCCGGCTTTAAACTTGTTTTTTGGCCATTATGAAAGGGTTAATAATGAAATGTTAACCTAAGAAAAAGTTCCCTGATAGCAACACATTCATTAAAATGTTCCTCCATTAGTGATCTGGGGTCAGTGCAGCCTCTACTTCCTGTTTATTACAGCCATGATGATGTAATGTGGTCAAAATTATGCTTTTTTTTCTTGGTTAACTAATTTTAAACCAAATTGAAACATCGCAAATTCACATTCCTTTTTTTCAAACGTTTAAAAGTTTGCTTAAAATTAGCATTTTACAGCTACTAAGGAAAAAAAAAAACTATTATTCTGTATCCTCCGAGCTTATAAGTAACTTCACAGGTACCTTAATTTACACTAAAACAGAAAGTCGGGAGTGCAGGTGGCGGAAACAGGAGATAGTGGGCACTCCTCCATGCAGGACCATGGATTGGTCCTGAACCCAATTCTTTAAAGGTATTAAAGAGGATTTTTTACCAATCAAAAAACAAAGTTAGTTCAATTAAAAAGACTGGACTTCTATCAAATAAAACATTTTCAATCAAAGAAAAGCAGTGTTCAAATGTTTTTTTTTTGAGTTTCAAATATATTTTTGCATTCAAATACTTTTTTTCTTTGATTGAGAAGTTTTTTGTTCATTGAAGTGAAGTTTTTAATTGAAAATATACTTTTTGATTGAAGCAACCTTTTTTGATCAACTGAAACAGAAAAAAAATCTACCTTCATAGTCTTTTGGTGTGTTTAAACCTTTAATAAGATCCCAGTAACCAAACAGGAAACAAAGGAAAAACAAACAATACTAAATAAAATGGATAATAAAAAAATTTTGGTTGAGATACATCAAGTATATTCGATATATCTTCCACCCCTAGTTCAGCGACGATGCATCTATAAGCCTGTGGCCAATTTTCCTGAATTTACTTTGGGTCGGAAGTTCCCGCGCTGTTCCGATGTGATGTCAATGTGATGTTCCATGTTAAATGGGTCAGATCTAGCAAACAATCGAAACATTATATTTAAGATGGATTATGTGGATATTAAGAAGCGAGCAACATTTAACTCAACATAGACACCAATGGCAACTCTAGGTAAGGGAAAAAAAAAAAAAACATATACCGTAAATCCTCTAATATAGGCCCGGGCCTTTATTTCACTCAAGTGCATCGCGGTCCAGGCCTTTATTGGAAAGAGGCCAGAATTAGAGACAGGCCTCTATTGCTATTTGAGCAAAACAGACTACCAGTGGAATGAATAAAAATGAGATTTTGTGTCTATTTGAACCTTTAAAACACTAGGTTCATTTATTGAAAAAGTACAGTTACCATGTCTCGCTTGGTTTGAAGTAAAAAAGAAAAAAAATCCTCCAATTCTGTTTAATTCTCCTCCTCAGTTTTTCTCCTCCTCTTCATCTCTCCCTTTAATCTCCTCATCACTCGCGCTCCTCCTCATGTTCTGCCGCGTGTCTGTTCTCTTCCTCGCGCAGACGGGCAGCAGTCAGGGCCTGTCGTCCAGCAGCGCAGGGCTGTGGTACTTGTATGTTACTACCACAAGTATAATGTTGAGGTATGCCCAGAATAAACGTTTATAGCCCCGGCCTGTATGAGAGACCGGCCATTATTTACCTCCTCTGACAGCGAGACCGGCCAATGTTAGAGTCCCGGCCGCTAATGGAATACAGGCCAATATTAGAGAATTTACGGTATACGTTATGTAGTTCTGTGTTTTGGCCACAGGTGGCAGCATTATTAAAAACTCTGTAATGCCTGTTTAGGATCATGATGGATTTACCTGTTTTCAAACCGCTCTGCAGTGAAACTGATCATCTCCTGGGATGAGATCTGGCGGCTGGAGAAGACCTCTAATGTGATCCTGACTGAAAGCATCCATGTCCTGGCTCACGGGGACGACCACTACTTCTCCATGCTGCTGCATCTCAGTGAGACGTTTGTCATCATGGAGCAGCTCGCCAGCTACTCCATCAAGCGCCTCTTCGATAAGGAGGCGTTCCAGGGAGAGCTGTCTCTCTGTGACCCCCTACAGATTACAAAGAGGTAATCTGATGACCTCCATTAGGTGTGTAACCCAGAGCAGCGAGTCATTTTCCTCACGGTGCTTCTTCTGTGCCTGGTTTTCCCTCAGAGGCCTTGAAGCTCACGCTAAAAGCGAGCAGTTCCGCTCATTCTTCAGGCTTCCCAAAGAGGAGAACCTGTTGGAAGTACACGAGAGCTTCCTGTGGGTCCCATTCAGCCATTTCAACACTCTGGGCAAAATCTGCCTGTCAGAGAACTACATTTGTTTCGCCAGTCAGGATGGCAGCCAGTGCCACATCATCATCCCAATGCGGGAGGTAAAGACGCATCTCTAAACCAGTCAGAACACCCAAACAAAGTCAGAGACCCATTCGCCAACCATCCTGTCTGCCCCCCACTGCAGGTCATTAACGTCGAGAAGCCCGACGCCACCAGCCGGGCTCTGACAGTCTGCGTGCGCGGCAAGAGGGCGCTACGTTTCTCTGAGGTCAGGGACTTCCAGCGGCTCGCCAACACGATCCGCAGCAGGTGTGGGATCAGCGCCAGCCCGCAGCACTCAGCTTCATCTGAGGTAATGGGAGGGCTCGCTTAGGAACGACCGCTTTCCCATCTCGTATTCTGCAACCATTCCTGATGTACGTCTTTATCCCTAAGGCCATACGGGGAGAGTGCCAGTCGCTCATAAATCACTTTGAGGACAATCCGGAGGACGTGACCCTGATGGTGGGACAGAAGGACAACAGCAAAGCCGTGAGCACCGAGGCCCTCATGACTGTTTTTCATCCTCAAGACGTCGAAAACCTCGATCCTAAAATGGTAAGCAGAAAAAATGCTAAGTCATGTTTCAGGCAATCAGTTTAAACTAAAGCAGGAGGGGTATGGAGTGAACTATGTTCCATTATTGCTTCAAGCAAAATGCATGTTTTGTAAATTGAAATTAAATCCAGTTTTATTTTTCAAAATGTTTTATTTATTTATTTTATATATATTTTTTTTCAAATGTATTAAACTAATTTTTAAAACATTTCTAGTCTTAGTTTTTATGAGCTGCATTCTTTTAAAATGGTTTTAGATATGTGTACAATCAGATTTTTTGTATTTGGGTTGTGGTGGCCTAGTGGTTAGAGCATAGGGTTTGGAATCCTGTGGTTCTGAGTAGGGCTGGGCGATAATTCAATAACGATATATATCGATCGATAGACGTGTGGCGCAATAGAAAAAAAGAGGGTCGATAAAAGTTCGATAAAAAAGAAACGCAGTTTTCCTTCCTTCTCATTGTAGCCTAGCATGTAGGTTTATGCTAGTCAGTGCTTCCTCCCAACCAATCGCAATCGCGGACCCAGGCACGCCGTCACCAAGCGCCGCCCTCTCAAACCACAACACAGAGCACATGAAGCTGTGCAGCAAGGAGAGGCGGAGGAAATTGCTTCAAAGAAGGGTTTTTGTAGTTCGGCAGTCTGGCAGTATTTCGGTCATGGCAAGTCGGACCCAAAACAAACCACAGTCATCTGGAAAATGTGTCGGGAACCAGTGAAAACGATGTCTGATAACACAACCAACTTTTTTTTTTTTTTCATCTCAGCCGCTCACACCCGCAGGAGTACGAGCTGTGTAGGCCCCGCCGCGGTTCTCCTCCGAGGAATCTTCGGGAAATATATATATATTTTCAGTTCTGGGTAGTTTCCCACGTAGTTCTAACAATTGAGATAAAAATGCTGAGGGGCCAGCAACTTCAAAGTAATAACTCAGGTTAAAGCAGGAAACGGGGGCAGCGGCGGCGGTGGGGGGGCATTTATTTATTTATTTGTTATATTTATTTTGGTCACTTTTCTGGTCACTTTAGTTTATTCTTTGTCAGTATTTAATAACATAACTCAGGTCTATTAAGTTATTAAAACAATTCTTTAAAACAATTCTGTTATGGTTAAAAAAGTTGGTTAAATAAAGATTTAATTCGAAGTCTGTGTTTGTGTTTTTTATTAAAATTAAATAATTTAGCAATATTATAAAAAGTCCAGGCAGAGCTGCACATAAAATATGGTTTCAAATCTTTTCAATAATTATCGATATCGATCAATATGCTTTTTTTTTTATCGATAAGCTTTTTTTCTATATCGCCCAGCCCTAGTTCTGAGTTCAAGCCCCTCTCCCACAGATTGCCACTCTGGGTCCCTAAGCAAAACCTTTAACCCCACACTGCTCCCTGGGTGCCGCACAATGGCATCCCACTACTCCCCAAGGGGATGGGTTAAATGCAGAGTTTGTTTCGTTGCTCTGTACTTGTAACTCTAACCACTAGGCCGCCACTCCTGATATACCAACTTTAATAATTTAAAGTTGTGTGTCTTATTAAGTTTTATTTATTTATTTATTTTTTTTGGTTAATGTTTTTTTATAGTGCAAAGATAGAACTGTTTATTAAAAGCCCCACACCTCCCAGATGTAGTTTACGTAGAAACGTCTTTGTTGTTCTGTCTGTTCAACAGCTGAAAGAGAAGATGAAGGAGCAGTCCTGGAACATCCATTTCTCTGAATATGGACGCGGAACAAGCATGTTTTTCACCAGGAAAACGCGAGACCTGATCGTCCGAGGCGTTCCTGAATCCCTGAGGGGGGAGCTCTGGATGCTGTTTTCAGGTAATTGTCCTCGTCTGCTGCTGGTGTCCGGTCGCCATCAGATGCATTCGAGCTGAAGTGGTTCCTCTGCAGGAGCTGTCAACGACATGGCCACCCACCCAGGTTATTACGGCGAGCTGGTGGAGCAGTCTCTGGGAACAAGCACTTTGGCTACGGACGAGATAGAAAGAGACCTGCATCGCTCGCTCCCGGAGCATCCGGCGTTCCAGAGCGACACAGGGATCTCTGCTCTGCGTAGAGTTCTCACTGCCTACGCCTACAGGAACCCAAAGATCGGGTACTGCCAGGTACCGGCCCAGGCTGAATTAGAGATGTTAATCATTAGAAATGTCAACGAGATGGAAGCAGGAGATGAAGAGGTCACATTAGAGGTCACACTAGTTGATAAAGTGAAGGATTTTGGTGCTGCAGAAGCTGGGTTTGTTATAGTGAGGCTGATGACATCACACCAAGAGGTTTCAGTTTTCCTTTTAGACCCTTAATATTCAGAATATCTCTAGTTTTTTTTTTTTTTTTGGTAATGGATAATTTTAATACATCTAAAGAAATACTCCAATATAAACTTTAAAAAATCTTTGGAAAACAACATTAAACTTTTTTAAATGGTGTATTTTTTTCCCCTTAACTTATATTTTTGAGCATGATATGTTAATGGACACAAATATCTGTATTTTTCTCTTCTTTTTATGCACTTCTTGTTACTGTGCACTATTTTATTTTTTTATATATGTATCATGTTAAACAAAAATAAATCTCATTTCATTTCATTTCAAATGGTTTAAAAAAAAAAATCTTGTAAACCTGCTGTTCCTGATCCAGTTGTCATGGTAACCTGTATGGAGAGTCAAGAAGGATGAAGGAATGAAAATAAATGAATATAAAAAAATAGGTGTAATTGTAAAATGAATTAAATAAATGCATTATTATAACATGTCTAATTAAATAGTTAAAGATACATTTTAAATAAGAACATAAAAAATTAATTCATTAAGTATCCATTATCTTGCTCTGTATTTATTCATTCCATGACATCTGTGCATCAGGTAACATGAAATAAATTAAACTGTGAACCTATCAGACTCAGTGGGCGGGACTAGTCACTTCCATGGAAATTCTGACATCTCATTGGCTGTTTATCACTCAGAAAGATAACCTCTTCTTTTTTTTTCTCTCTAAAGTTAAGTTTATATTTTCGCCCCCCCCCCCAAAAAAAAACAGTTTATCACCCATTTATTTATCAAGAGCATTTTGACAGTGCAAGTCCAGCCTCTATATTGATAGTTTAAAGCCCAAATGTAGTGGTTTAATTTTATATTTCATAATTTAATTGTGCATTCAGTTGTTTAAGGATTTATTTAATAAATAAAAAGCACATTTATTCATTTTATACATTTACATCTCTTTGTTTTTTTGAATTAAATCTCATGTTTAACCTCCATATTAAAGGAATCATTACAAGATCAAGTGTCTAAAGAATAGATACAAACGTATTGATTGTTAACAGTGGAGATTATGTCTTTTATTATTGATTTAATTTTACATCTAAAAATTTACTTGTACATTTAATTGTTTCATGGTACATCTATTAGTTTTATTATTAATGTATTAATTTCCTGCTGTCTCCTCTAACCCTCCATAAACTGATGTTGTGGATGAACTCTGCCGTTTGCCGCCTGTAGGCCATGAACATCCTCACCTCCGTCCTGCTGCTGTACGCTAAAGAAGAGGAGGCCTTCTGGCTGCTGGTGGCCGTCTGCGAGAGGATGCTTCCCGACTACTTCAACCGACGGATCATTGGTGAAGCTGGAAGCGGTGGATTCTCAGCCTCCGCCTGCTGTCTCTTTCTGGTCCACTGATTGTTTCCTCTTTTGTTTCTGTCCAGGTGCTCTGGTTGACCAGGCTGTGTTCGAGGACCTGATCAGAGAGAACCTCCCGCAGCTGGTGGAACACATGACGGATCTGAGCTTCTTCTCGTCTGTGTCCCTGTCCTGGTTCCTCACTCTTTTCATCAGCGTCCTGCCCATTGAGAGTGCCGTCAACGTGGTGGACTGCTTCTTCTACGACGGCATCAAGGCCATCCTGCAGCTCGGCCTCGCCGTGCTGGACTACAACATGGAGGCACTCATCACCTGCAGTGATGACGCCGAAGCCGTCACCATCCTCAGCAGGTCCGTACTGTTCGTTATGTCTGACGATTACTGGTGGACCCAAAAGCAGACACAGATTCTAAAAGCAGTGTTAACAGTGTAAAAAAATAAAAAGAGAAGATTTATCCAAACTTAATTTAAGATTAAATAAACTCTTTGATTTTATACCCTAAGAATATTAACTGTATACGTATGCTTACTGCCATTTTGCATTAATATTAATTTCTCTAGCCACTATGAAAATGTTTTATTATATGTTTGCGGTGATTTAATGGATTTAGCATTAATCAGTAAAAATCAAAACAATAAATTTTGTTGCAATCATTGAGTCCAGGACCAGCAATTTTTAAATGGCCAAAAATAGTAGCACCTTACTCCTGACATTTTCTGGCAGTGATGTCATGGTGTTGTAAACCGAGCGCCATTCTCCTCGCTTTACAAGCAGAATCAATGTGAACCACAAGACAGATCTGCAAACAACAACAATTATTTAAGATTTAAAGAGGACTTCACCATTGAAATCCACAAGAGCTATAGTTCAAGTGGCAATGCCCACGTGCATGGCAGTTGTGTGTTGTAATACATCTGGTTAAAAAGAAAATTTTGAAAAATTAGTTATTTCCCCTTTCCGATTCATGATCCTCCAAGCACGGGTTCATCGTTGGATTGCCAACTTGAAGAGGGAGGATTTGCCATCGAACTTCTGGCCAGAGAAATTTATGTAATATTTAGCCAACATTTCGAAGAAGAATATTTTCAAGATGACTTGGATAATAACACGTTGTGGCAAACACCAGATACAGCACTGGGACTTGCTCAACAGCCGATACCACACCGTAACGTCACTAACCGTTAGCAGGCAGTAGTGTTCTTTGACAAACATGGATGTCTCCAGTGAAGTGCATTAAAATTTAAATTACTCTTAATTAAAAACACATAATTTATTGAATGATATGTAATAATTTCATATTTAAAGTATTTTCAGAATTTTGAATTCTGAATTTGACCAGACTTTTCCTTTAAGCGCTGAATATGTGTCTCACTGCGCTCTTGGACTGGTGCCTGCACGCTCAAATTAATGGCACAGTTGTTACGTCATAGATTAGCACAGCAGATTAACGTTAGTCCAGTCAAAAAATACAAAATCAGGGTTAAAAATCTAATGCAGCTCTACCGAACAGACAGAATTGTCTGGCAGCATGGTGCTGAGACAACCAGGCTTTTCAAACAGAGGGTTGATGAGCTGATGTAATGCAGGTGTCTCAGTCCACAGCACCACAGGGCAAAAAGCCGCGCCCCCTGCTAAAACTCTGCTCTACTGAAAAGCAAAAGAGCAAGATCCACAAACCAAACCACAACACGGGCTCCACTGAAACATGGTTTCCTCAGTGAAAGCCTCCATGGGTGATGAGTTTCCGATGGTGTTCCTTCAGGTTCTTCGATAGTGTGACAAACAGAGACAGCCCGCTGCCTCCAACAGTGCAGCAGGCATCTTCAGGCAGCAATGACAAAGCGCGTCACGTCAGTGTGGACATCAGCGAGCTGATCCGGGAAGCCTATGAGGTACCGTACAATGTCCCAGTTTGATCTGCAGCTTCTGGTTCCGGCGTGACGAGTCCGACTTGTCCTTTCGGTAGAAATATGGACATTTTCGATCGGAGGAGGTGGAGAGTTCACGGAGGAGAAACAAGCTGCACGTGATTCAGACTCTGGAAGACACGACCAAGCAGAACGTGGTGAGTGAAATCAGAGTTTGCAGCTTCATCGGATCATTAAGGCGGCAGTCATGGGTTTTGTTTCTGCTTTCAGATCCGAGTCGTGTCCCAGGAGGTCCAGTTCAGCGGTCCCCAGCTTGACGAGCTTTATAACCTGTTCAAAGTGAGTCAATGCTGTGATGCAGCGCCCCGCCTCCCCAGGAGAATCTGATTTAATCCTCAGATCATGCTTGCTTTCAGAGGCAGCATTTCCTGAGCTGCTACTGGACCATGGAGAGTCCTGCTCTGCTGCACCATGACCCCAGCCTGGCCTACCTGGAGCAGTACCAGCTGGGGTTCCAGCAGTTCAGCGAGCTCTTCTCCCTCCTGGAGCCCTGGGCCTTCTGCCCGTCCAGGAGCACCCTCTCCCTCTGGGTCTTCCGCCTCATCGACGAGAACCAGGACGGGCTTGTCAACTTTAAGGAGTTCTGCTCTGCTCTGGGTGGGTCCTTCGTGTTTTCCCATCATCAACACTCCTTCCTGACTGTACTGTAACGACTTTGTTTCCACAGATATCTTATATGGCGGATCTTTCACAAATAAGCTGAAGTTTCTCTTCAAGCTCCACCTCCCACCAGGTCAGTGATGGTGAACCAGTCACTCACATTTTCTTCAGGGCCTCTCCTGACCAACTAGCCTAAAGCTATTCAGGTTTTATCATTAATCACAAACTGTATTTCTGTTGCCAGTAGGAAAAGCTCAAAGTTTTACGAGATTTCATCAGAAGGAAAGAACATTAACAGAAATTTTATTTGCATTACTCGGCATTGAAACTGTTCCCAAATATCGTGAAAAAGTAATTTAATACCATTTGATCCCATCTGATGGATGGTTGATGTAGTTAAATTCAGAATGATCCTGGAAGGATGCAGCTGGAGGCTTCCAGGGATTTTAGGATGAAGGTTCACTTCACTGCAGGACAACGTCCTGATCGTACGGATAGAGGAATATGGAGCTTAATTAGGAACATAAAAATAGTTTAAACTGAAGACAAGTCTTTAAACTCCTTTCAGTTCTTTTTTGTTTGTCTTTTCAGTTTCAAATCTTTTTTGTGACTGAGCCAGAATAATTAAACTATCATTGCTTTTGGGTTTCAAATCTCTTGTTTATGTTGTAATTTTTTTTGTTTTTTTTGTTAAAAAATGCCTTTTTTCCTTTTCTTTTTTTTCAAATCTTAATAAGTTTAAACAATTTTATTCAGTTTCAGAAATTATTTTTTTTTTCTCTGTTTCAAATCATTTTTAGTGTAAAATATTAATTTGTTTAAAAAACAAATAGTTTTAAATAGTTTTATATCTTTATTTAAATCTTATTTAATCTTTATTTAAATCTTATTTTTTCCACTTCAAATCTTTTTTATTTTCACCTTTTTTAGTTTGAAATTTGTACGTTTTAAAACTACTTTTGAGTTTAGATTTTTTTTTTAAAGAAGTTTTTGAACAAACTTTTTGGCCTCACCTTAGCTCCATAGAGGGAAACGGTTTCTTATCCAGCAAATAGACTTGAGAGTATTGTTTAAAACTGAGGCTCTGTTTGGACAGAGATCTGTCCTGTAGATGTGTGAAGCTGGTAAAGGCCAATTTATAAAACAAAAATTTACAATCTAAATCTCTCAGTTTTATTTCTGCTTCACAGTTTTCTCCCTCTGGTTCTGATCATCAGAAATATACATAAAAATGCTGAAGTTTGAAGATTTAAAAGTTTGAAGATTTAAGCAGCATAAGAAGTTTTTTAGGTTTAAGAACATCTCGCTAGTTTTCTATTTTCACATTCCCTCATTTAAGAAAAATCTGTTTTTATTTGCACCATTCAGATTTTAAAACACGGAGCAGCTATAAAGCTTCACAATTTCTATAGGCTACTTATTTATAACATCATAAAAACAAAGTAGAGAGCACATAATATCAATAACCCTGGGTTGAAAGCCAGAGGAAGCTTTATTTTCAGGACCTTTAAAGCCATAAAGTGAGTCGGCCTGCCTTCTGTGGTTCATTAAACAGCAGCAGACTGTCGTGGAAAGGGGGCGGAGCCAAAGGCAGGCGGTTCTGAACTAGCCGGGTTCTTTCAGGGCTGCAGAACCAATGAGTCGTTTTGAAAACAGAGTAATGATGTGTCACTGCCTGCTGGGGGTCCCCATGGCAACAAGGAGGGCCAATTGGCCCCGGGAAGGGTCCTCTAAAAACAGCACCATCAGTGACAGAGCTGCTCAGATTACAACAGACAGCTCAGCAGCAGTCGAGCCTGACTCACTTGGTTCTGCCTGGTTCTGTTGGGCTCGGCTGGGATGATGAGCGTCAAGCTGCACAGCCTCATGGAGAGGACACAGCGCTTCAGCTCCAAGGACAGGTCACATCAGCGGTTTATCTAAATCCAGCGGGAATCAGTTTCTTCCCTGTTGGTGAGAGATTCTGCTGCAGACACTCCATCGATCCAGGAAATCAGATCATCTGCTCTTTGAGCAGAGGATCTCTCAGTCCTCTGGGTGTACTGATCACTCACATCCTGTCTTAGTACCAACATTTTTGTTCCTCTAGACTTCAGGGCTCAGCAAAAACTAAAGGTGTTAATCAATGCTGAGCCTCAGACGCTGTTAGATCTTCATTAGATCAGTAAACTAGCAGCAGACACAGAGGAAGGGTCAAAGTAAAGCACAGATCTCAGGCTGTGCTGCTAACGCTGCAGCCAGGCATCAAGTCAAGGAAAACCACTTTGCTCTGCTTTTTGAGATAATTGTTTAATTGATGCATGAAAGCAGCACGGATGATTGCACCCTCATGTGGTCATAAGTGGGCAGCAATCTGAAGTACAACACGGCTGAGATTGTTTTAGTAAATAATTCATCTGTCAGTTTTCAAATAATGGATTCATCTAAAAATAAATTATTTTATTAAATGAACATTTCTGAACAAAAATTATTTGGAACTTAAAAAGCTTATTGAAAAAAAGCTTTTTGGACATTTAATATGACAAAAGCGTAAAAAATATGAGTTGGAATATCATGAAAAAGCTGATTTTTTTTCATTCATTCCATTCAAAAAATGAAATGTGAAAACTAGATTTATTTATTACACACAGACAAGTATAAATGACAACTGATAAAAACACCAAATTAACTATCTCAGAAAATTAGAATTTTACTGCAGACCAACACAAACAAGTGATTTCTCTAAATGTTGGTCAACATGTAGAGTCCTCAGTACTTAGCTGGGGCTCTTTTTACCTGAATTATTGCAGCACCGCAGGTAGGATTGTTGGCATGGATGCTGCGATATGATAACGTGTCGCGATACTTGGGTCACAATACGATATTATCACGATATTGCAATATCACTATTGCAATATTTTTTCCCAGCTATCAAAAAGCTGGGAAAAACAAAAGAAAAGCTAGTTCTGTAATTGTTCATCAGAAGATATTGTTCATTTAGTTATTTTGGTTTTCATGGTGTTCCGGGTTTCAGTCAGTCCACATCTTCCATTGGGACTGCCTCAGCTACAGATATGGGGCTGATCTGCACAGCTAAAGGGCTCCACAGCGCCATCTGCCAGAGTGGGGAAGCAGAGACAGCCCATTTTCCCTCATTGTTTTAGGTAAAAATGTTCACTTTTTGGCCCTGCTATGGACTGGCGACCTGTCCAGGGTGTACCCGGCCTCTCGCCTGTAGACAGCTGGAGATAGGCACCAGCACCCCTCGCGACACCACTTGGGATAAAGCGTGTCAGAAGATGGATGGATGTTCGTTTTTTTTATTTTTTTAAAAATCTGTATTAGCAAGTTATTGATTGCTTGTTTGATTGATAGACTTCATTGATCTCAAAATTCACTCATCACATCGCCTCAATAGTTTATTATCTTTTTATATATATGTATATGTATAACAGCTGAAGTCTCTTATTTAACAGGAATATTGCACAGGTTATTACACATGGTATTACATATGTATTTATATAAATAGTTATTTATGTGTATAGTTATTGCACTGGGTATTCAATAGTAATTGCACATTAGGTATTGCCGTTGTAGTGTCGCATTGTAGAGCCTGGTGGCAGCAGTGATGAATGACCTGCTAGCTTTTTACAAAGGGGGGATAAAAATCTTTCACTAAAGGAGTAGCTCAGCTCCTCTAAAAAAAGGTGTTGTCCATGATGGATGTAAGCTTGGACAGCACCATCTTCTCGGCCACTTCCTCCACTGAGTCCAGAGTGCAGCCTTGGACAGAAACGGCCTTTCTCACCAGTTTGTTCTGTCTCTTTCTGTCCCGCTCTGCACTGCCAGGGGCCCAGCAAACAACAGTGTAGAGGAGGGTTGATGGTGAAACATAGAAAGTCATAGAAGGTTTTAAGCAGTTTTTCTTTATATATATATATATATATATATATATATATATATATATATATATATATATAAGAAAAGGCAACTTTGTTAGCCAACTACACATAGAGGGGGTGGGTCGTTGAGGCAGCTGTGATCAATGTAGCTGGTGTGAAATTTCATAGAGCTAGTTAGGTGTAAAGAACACTGTTCAAAGTACATTTTTACATTTTACAAAATCAATAGTAATGGTGTGTAAGAACAGGTTAAAATACAGTATAGTGATAATCCTGGAAGACTCAGCAGGTGGAAACTAACATTTAACCAATAAGCATTGAGGACATAAGGAAGAAATTGTCTCTTAATGATGAATAGCTGGTACGATTGGATTGGAGCTGAGAGAAATTTTACTCAAGTAAGAAACTTTATCATATTTTCACTCGTGTAAAAGTAAAAAGTACCACACTGTAAAACTACTCCTAAAAATACTTTTTTCTTTCCTTCAAAAAGTTGACCAAGTAAATGTAAGTAGTTACTACACCCCTATGTTTCTGATGGAATAATCCTTAATCGTTTCCTGATGGGTGGGAAAGACTATGCATTACCAAGTGATGCTGCTGTCGTTAGCTCTACTAGTACAAACTATTACCTCAGCCTGACATCAGAGCTCATGTTTTATAATGTTTGTATTTAGACTGATTTATTTTTACATCTTATTGATAGATTTTATGCTCTAAGCACTGTAGGAGGGCTCACAGAGACATTTTTAAGGTAGACAAGAACAAAAAGGCTTGTTGAGAAAGTGGTGCCTCCATGAAAACATAGAATGCCCCCCTTAGATTTGTTTCTACAGCCTGTTCTGATTTTCATATTATAACAATACTCACCATTATATTGTGTTTGCACTGGAACAGATTACATAAATATCAGTGGTGGCTGGCCTTTTTTAAGCTTTACTTCTCATTAAAGATTAAATATCTATCTTACACAGCGCCCTAGTGCCCTCTATTGGCCAGCCGCAGCAGAGGGTGCTATATATGCGTGTGTGTATGTATATGTATGTATATTATAAATGTCTATATGGTCAAAATTCTATCTACTAGACAGGTGCTCAAATACTTATTTGAGGCTGTATCTTAAAAATAAATAGTAAAAAAATCATATATTGTGATTTCTGGATTTTCTTTTGTTTTTAGATATTGTCTGTCACAGTGAACATGCGCCTACGTTGACTATTTCAGACCCTCCATGATTTCTAAGTGGGAGAACTTAGAAAATCGGTACAAAATAGCAGTGTTGACATACTTATTTTTCTCAATGTACATCATCGTCATTGCTTATATACTTTTATCTACTACATCCTTCCATTGCCTTCACAAAGGAATGCAAGGGAATATATACATTTTCCTGGACCCAGAGCTCTGTGGCTTTTGCATGCATTTTCAGTTCATTAGCTTATTAGGGTGGCATCAGGCGTTTCCAATATTGGACATTTTCGCAATATGATAATTTTCTGAGATACTGATGTTGGTGTTTCAGTAGTTCTCAGTAATATCATCTAAATGAAAAGAAATAAAATTTTAAATATATCAGTCTATGTGCAATTAATCAATGTAGTGCAAAAAAATCCACTTTTTGAATGGAATAACTATAAAGAAATTAACTTTTTTATGATATTCTAATTTAATAACAGCATCTGTATGTGCGTAGTTATATAAAACATGTAGTTTTGTTTTAATCTCTGCTGCTAGTAGGTTATTCTTTTATTAAACATGTTCTGAAGTCTACATTTAATCTAGATAAATGTTCGATTAATTTACCAAATTAGTTGTTTATTTTATTAATTGATGAATCCATTTAAACATTCATCTATTATACATATCTTTCTCATTGATCTTCACTTTTTTCTGAACTAAATGGTGATAAAGTTTTTGCTCACTTCCTCATTTAGACACGATTTTCCATGCTTGCCTTCTAATTTTTCACATTCGTCAGTCAGGTTTAAATATTTAAAAAATGTTTTAATGAATGAATCCAACCGCACACAGTACTGTGGGAAATAACTTGGCATGCCGCATTTTTCAGATTTCTCTTAAAGCTACAGTGTGTAATAATTACAGGGATATACAGTCAGAAATGTAATATATTATACATAACTATGTTATTTATCATCATCTACGAGCTCAGCCTCTTAACCTTAATATTTGCGTTGCCTTAGAATTCGTTATTTATAATTACATAGGAGCGGGTCTCGCAGCCATGGAGGCAGACATCTTTGCGCTACGGCAGCGCAGAGCCAACAAGCTAGCGATTGCGAGATCGCCCATTACGCTCGAAAGTAACTACGGCAAGTTGAGAGAGATGAACTGAGACGGTACTGAACACACAGACTAATGAAATACTATCTGTAAAATTATCTATGTAAACAAACCTCATCACTTGAGAAGGTAGGTAATGCGGACGTCGTGGAAGACATTTTGTCCCGTAACGCTCGCCGTACTGTTGGGGGGGAGAAGCGATGGGGGGGAGATGTTCATGTTGCTGCGGTCTGCAGTCTGGACGTTAGATGTCGCTGAAAATTACACACTTTAGATTTAATGCAAAAGCTTTTAAGATTCCTGCTGGTTTTTCCTTCCACTTTATTAATGCTCTACTTTCTGCTGATCTGTGGGTTGAATCTGGGTCTCTGATTGGTAAAAACATTCAGATGGTCTTCACATCATCTTGACCTATGCTAGCAACATGACCTATTCAAACCGATGACATCACAGCTAAAAGAGGGCAACAGCGAGGTTTGATGGAAAAAAAAACAAAAAGCTTACGGATCCTGCTGATACGGCAGAAGAGAAGCAGTAGAAAATCAAACGAATAAACAGAAAATAAAACTTTGCTTTTTAGCAGGTAGAGATACTTTCTTTATTTCAGAAAACAATGCTTTAGAAACGTTTTAATTTTCTTATTCTGTCTCTGCGACTCCTAAAGTAATGAATGTAGAACCATTTCTAGATGTTAAATGTCCTGTTTTCTGAGGGTCCTCATGACAGATTGTCCTCTAACCTGTTCTGTACTCCTTTCGGAGCTTCTGTCTCCTGCATGCTGGGCGCTCTCCCTCCTCCGTTTCACCTCTCTGTGTCTTCGCACTCCATCTCTTCTAGCTTTCACAGGAAGTCCTTTAAAGGAGCAAAGAGTCCAGCAGCTCCTCCCAGAGGCTGAAGACTCGTCTCATTTGATCAGACTTGCTGGTTAGCCTCTCCTCCTCTTCTTCTTCCTTTTTCTGCTGCGGTCTGTCATGATTCTGCTGTGATGTTGTCTGAAGGTGCGTCTCGCTGTAGTTTGTTAACATTTCGCCCTTTATCCTCCAGCCTTTGACCTTCCTGAGGATGGAGTAATCAGGAAAAGTCCTGAAAGAGGTAGGAGCGCTTCAGAACCTGGATTGATCCTCTGGGTTCTGATCAAGGAGGCGAGAATCTGGTTTTATATTTAGTTTTTAGTCCTTCTTTCTGTCGACTCCTTCTTCCTATTTCTTCCTTTCTGACTAGTGTCCTCCCTTCCAATGGTAACTTCCCTTTTCCTCATTTTTTCTCTTTCTTTCATTCACTGCAAAAACTGATCAAAAAATAAGTTTATTTCTCTTAAAATTAGCATATTTACTGAGAATTGAAGCAGGTAAATAAGATGATCAGCCAGTCCAATAATTATGTTTGCCTTTAAAATCATATACTTAGATATGATCAGTGGTGGGCTGTTAGGGCCTTCAAGGCCTTTACTGCCAGCTTAAAATCAATCAGAAACTCTAACCTACATTCAAAATCTCAACTTTAATTTGCTTCTTTCCAACTGTATTAATTTATTCCAAACAATCTGTTCTAGCTTTGTAGCGTCTCTCTTGGGTGCGCTGCTTCCATTACATTTTTCTGGTCTCCAATAGTTTTTTTTTCCAAACAGATTTCAGGCTCTGTGTTACCATGTCGATCAATCTGCCCCGGGCCTTCAGAATCAGCAGTGCTGCCGATGTCACTTTAACTGTATTACTGAAGAAAGTTTTTTTAAGCTATCAGATTTAAGATTTGCCCCACAGGGCAGCTAGAGGGCCCGCCCCTTCGTCAGCATTTTCTGTCCTCTGATTGGTCAGTTAGAGATAAATGTTTACAGCCAAGTTAGGCGAGCAAAATCTGAATTTTAGATTTGCTTTTGTTCAAAGTTTTTCTGGCCTCAATTGCTGATACAAATGGAGATACTAAGACTTTCTGCACAAAGACGGATGGAGTTAGTTTTTAAATAATCAGCGTCTTTGGTGAGTGTGAAATATTTTATTTTCATGGTTTTTGCTCTATGTTATCTATTAATTAATTAGATGCATATTATATCTGAACGGCTCCTGGTGATGTAAACATGGCGGAGCTGTGGTTAGAGAGTAGACGATTGCTGTTGTCTTAACTGGGCTTCTTGCTAATTGATCTCTGTTTTCACTCTCACACAAATTATACCTGCTCTTGTTACATTTCATATTTGAATACTATTGGTGGTTTCGGTTTTTAAAACGTGAAAGTGGTGATATTAACCCCTTTACATCCGTTGTTGCAAATTGTACCATATATATATATATATATATATATATATCTATCTATCTCTTGTAGATGGAACAGTCACTTGAGACTGCAGAACCCGAAACACTAACCTGAGCACTGCCTGGATTTATTACAAGAAAGCCTGTGACTCAATGCCACTTACTTGGATCATTGAATGCTTGGAGCTATACTACATCAACAGGACTCTAAGAGCCTTCATTGCAAACTCAGTGTGGTTGTGGGAAACCACCCTTGAGGCCAATGGCAAGGCACATGCACAGTCTCCATCAAATGTAGAATATACCAAGGAGATGTGCTGTCCCCACTGCTGTTCTGCATAGGTCTGAACCCCCTCAGCCCAATAATCAACAAGACTGGCTACGGATAATGACTCAGTAACTGGGCCACCATCAGTCACCCCCTCTACATGGATGACATCAAGCTGTGCGCCAAGAATGAGCGAGACATTGACTCACTGATCCATACCACCCGGATCTTCAGCACAGACATCGGGATGTCATTCGGACAAGAGAAGTGTGGTCGGATGGTGACTAAGAGAGGGAAGGTAGTCCACACAGAGGGGGTCTCGTTCCCAGAAGGAACAATGGCAGACATTGAGGTCAGCTACAAGTACTTTGGAATCCCACAAGCAAATGGCAACCTCGAAGAGGTGACAACGAAAGCGGCTACGGCCAAATACCTCCAACGAGTAAGGCAGGTCCTAAGGAGTCAACTCAATGGCAAGAATAAGTCTGGGGCAATAAACAGCTATGCTCTACCAGTAATCAGATACCCTCCAGGAATAATAAGCTGGCCAAAGGATGAGATACAGGCCACAGATGTTAAGACACGAAAGCTCCTAACCATGCACGGAGGGTACCGCCCCAAATCCAGCACCCTGAGACTGTATGCTAGCCGAAAGGAAGGTCGAGGACTAGGTAGCGTAAGAGCCACTATCCAGGATGAAACATCCAAGATACATAAGTACATCAAGGACAAGGCTCCAACAGACGACATCCTCAGTGAATGGGAAAATAGAATGGGGAACAGAAGATGAGGTGCCAGAGACTCCGTCAAGGGAGATTAAGCCTCTACACAGGATGGACCACCAAAACATAACCGAAGTGGCAGATATCAGGAAATCCTACCAATGGCTAGACAAAGCTGGACTGAAGGGAAGCACAGAGGCGCTTATCATGGCTGCACAGGAGCAGACCCTGAGCACCAGAGCAATAGAGGCCTGGATCCACCACACCACTAAGATCATACGGATGTGTGTTTCTTGTATAATTTCAAACATAAATCATGTCTCATTTAGCAAATCAATGAAAAATGAACAGATTTCAGTATAATTTGACTTCCTAACTTTCTAGTTTTTGCACAGTTTTTTCTTGCTTCCTTTTCCTTAGTGTCCCTAGGAGGTAGAGGTAGTTGCCATACGTTTATATATTAGCAGCTGTTTTAAATTAGGTTTTTTAGCATCAGAGGTATTTAACTCAAAGAGTTTCTGTCTGTTCTGCCCAACCACCAGGCAGAGGGAAGGTTGACCTGCAGGCCTACCTGAAGCAGTGGCAGAATGAGATCCTAAAGAAGGAGGAAACCATCAAGGACCTGCCAAGAATTAATCAGGTGATCCATCCAATCATCTGGTTAGGATGCTTCACAGTAAAAACAAACCCTTCTCTAACATTCCCATCATCTCCCACCTCAGGCTCAGTTCATCCAGTTCTCCAAGACCCTCTATAATATCTTCCATGGTGATCCTGAGGAGGAGTCGTTGTACCGAGCCGTCGCCCACGTCACCAGCCTCCTCCTCAGGATGGAGGAGGTCGGGCGGAGGCTACAAGAGCCGAGCAGCCTGCGTGCCGGCAGCACCGCCTCTGTGGAGGCGTCTTTAACCGAAGAGGAGACTTCAGACGCCTCCAGTTCTCCCAGCAGCCAGGATGGGGCGGCGAGGCAGCCTGAAGCGGACTGGTCGTTTTCCTTCGAACAGGTCTTGGCCTCGCTGCTCAACGAGCCCGTCATAGTGGGCTTCTTTGAACGGCCGGTCCACATTCAGGGCAAACTGGGACAGGCCCGGGTGGCCCAGCTCAGGCTGAAGGCCAACAAGTGAAAATCTGAGGGGAAAGTTTGTTTCTGACGTTTAATCCACTTCCTCTGCCCAGATCGGATTCTGACGCTACGGTGGGTTTCCTGCCTTCATTTCACTGACGATCCGACGTAAACAAACACTAGGGTTGGATCACTGACCCCCACCAGGATGAGGGCTGCTCCTCAGGCCTCATCAAGCATTTTCACCTCATCTAGCTCAGATTTAAGACCTTATATCATATAAACACCTGAAAAGTCTATAAAATACTTAGACTAATTTAGATCCTAATTCTGAATATTTTCATGTGCGCTTTCATTCAGATTAGTAGTTACTGCTTCTAGTGAAGCCACCGTGTGTGATCGTTTGTCCCGTGACCTTATAGTTACGTTCAAAATGCAAACAGCTTGATGTGAAAAACACCAGCTTAGATCATAGTGACTTAGAGCAGCAGTAGAGCGGATAGAGGAACTGCTGCACCGGCGCTCCTGGAAGCCATAAACTGATCCGCTTCTCTCACTCAAATGATGCATTTTGAAAACAGAAAAAGGGAAAATATTTGCAATAAATAGGGAAAAATATAGGAAAACAGGGGCCCCTGGGCTGAAGGATGGTGGGGCCCTTTGGTTTAATTTGCATATGCAATTTATATATAGACAGCCTGGTAAACAACAACTTCAGAAACATCTTTGTGTTGGTCTTAAAAAGGTTTTAAATTAATTTAAAAAATCTTGTTTGCAGGGTTTCTGTTTGTGACATCATCATTTCTAGAAAGTTGTGTGTTGCTGCTCTTAGAAATCAGGAAGTGAATCTGTTTATGCAAAATGAATCAAATGTCAGTTTGAGCATAGAACAATTTATTGATGTGTATCTGAATAAAAATAGTAATGACTTGAATATTTTAATTAAAAATTCAGTTTAATTAATTTCACTTTTAGTTCGAAATCCAGATTTTCTTTTTTTGCCAAACATCAGGATCCTATAGAAAGTCTAGATTAGTCAAGAAGATTGTACATAGAATACAAACCCGAGAGTTTAGCAGCCTGTCATTTGGCAGGATGTGAATGTGTGTTCGATAACTCTGGTCTTTCTGAGTTAGATGTGGCAAAAAAGAAAATCTAGAAATGAAAGCAAAATAAGTCAAACTGACTTATTAATGTAAGGAAATGTTTTCAGAACGAATTATAAAATTTATGAGCAGTTATGACTCAGTTTCACATAGAGATTAATTTTATTAAAATTCACTTTTATTTTCTAATCATGCTTAAACAGATTCACTCATTCAGGATTCACTCAAATTAAATTCTGTTTCTGATGGGACCAGTTTTCTCTTTTAGATGGTTGAATTTGTGTCTCAAATCAGAAAATTCTTTCTAAATAACTAATTTTATTTATAAAGGGAACCTCCTGTACACCATGCACACATGCTGATATAAAGGGATAAAAAACAAAAACAAAGTTTTCCTCCAGTAAATGTAATATTAACTAAACAACAGATTGTTCATATAGAAGTATTGAGGAAAAAGTACAGCAAACCAGGGTGTAATCGCAGCAGAGAGGTGTGCTATGCGTATGTGGCAGCATTTTAAACTGTTTATTTATACTAGCTTAATGCCTGTACATACGCTACACTTCGCCTAATTAAGGTTCAAACTCCTTCAAAAGCCTCATCATCCATCATGCTGGTGAAGATTCTCAGTCATCCAGGCCATAGTCTTTTCAAATAAGTTAAAAACAATCCACTGGACTTTTGTTTCCAAGTTTGAAGACATTTCGCTTCCCATTCAGGAAGCTTTTTCAATTCAAAATGTCTGAATTAGTGTTGAGTTCCTAGCTTTATACAGTAGCCCAACGAATCCTTGTTATGGCTTATAAATTGAACCGGACGAACTGGTCCACCCCTTATTGATGCTTTCTAAGACAAAACAAGGCTTTATTTGGGCTACTCTATTAAGCTTGGTACTCAATGCTAATACAGACATTTTGAATAAAAAAAAAGCTTCCTGGATGGGAAGCGAAACATCTTCAAATTTGAAAAAAAGTCCAGTGGTTTGTTTTTTAACTCAGGAGGAGGGCGAGGATCCAATTCTAGAAAATAATATCGAAAAGCTAAAGCTCTATGTTCCTGTTCACTCGGTCAGAAGCTCTTTATAGTTTTAAAAATTAAAATATGGGATTTCTAATCAGGTGGTCAAGACAAAGACTTGATCAAACCATGGTAGGTATTATTTCACCATTTAACCAATGATTGATTTCATTTCCCATGTGGTGAAAGTTCTCTTCTCAAAAATCCCCTGCCATGGAGCGTAGTTTGCAGGATCTGCTTCAAATTTGCTTTTTCATGAATATGTGAAGCCGTGCCGCTAATGTCACAGTCTGTAAACACGTCTTGTATTTTACATCTTTATGATAAAAAACTGCTGATTCATTCACAAACTCCAGTGCCGTATCTACAGGGTCTGGAAAGTTTAGAGGAGGGAAAAGGTGCAATAATGGTAAAGCTAATAAGGTTAAGCTAAGAGAATTTGGAGCCCAAAGAACCACCAAACGTGGATTTATCATGAACATGAGGTGCAACAGCTGCAGTTACGGCTTAACTACCCCTGAATGAGGAACTGCATCGGACTGCCTCCAAACTAGGCTGCCAAAAGAGCTGCAGTATAAAAACTGAAGCCCTAAACATGACTTTATAAGCTGTAAGCCATAATTTACCATAAATAACCACTTAAAATAGGTAGAAATACCTATTTTAATTTATTGAAATAAAATCTAAAAATAAAAAAACAGTTTTATTGATGTATTTAAATAAAGAAGAAATAAAAAAATGTGGGAAGAGACCTTTGTGGCGTTTATCCCTGGCAGTAATGTTGCAGCAGGGGGCGCTGTTGTGCTACAACAGAACAGCAGGAACAGAGGCCAATGTTTCTGAAACAATGAAAGACACAAAGCTCAGATGATCTCTGCTCAGAGACGTTCCTGGACCGGTTCTCTCTCTCCCCGCTGCAGATTGCTGACATTTCTCGCCCCTAATGAGCTCCAGGACTGTTGAACCTTTTGAAGGACATTTTGCTTCATCAAATCTCAGGGTGACATTTCTGTAAACATATAAGGGATATTTTTCAAACGGAAACTTAAACATTAGATCCAGAGTTCTGTCAGTAGCACTCGGTGGTGTGCAGCAGTTACAGATGTGCAGCATAAATCTCACCTGTTTTTTTTTCCTGTCCTGTTGCTTCGGTCAGGGAAAATCTGTGGCTCCTGTAGCTGCATCTTTTTGGGCCAAATGATCAGATTTATAATGAAGATTTAGAGTCTCTGCTTTTCTCCAGAGTTTACTTTTTTTTATTTTATTTTTTTTATTTTTTAAGTGCTTGCTGTTTCTGATCATTATGCCTTATGCTGACTCATGCTTTTGTTGTTCTTTAATGACCAAACCTGAAGGACCGACTGCTTATTATCGTTAAATTCATTTTATTTTGCATTAAACTTTTATCTTTGTTTATAGGTGGAACTCCTTAGAAAATGTTAAAATAAACTGAAGATTTTCTCGCTGCCCCATTTTAATGTTTGATCAACGGAAACGTTATAAATCTTAAGCAGCAGAAGAAATGGTTGATCTAAAAAAAAAAAGGAAAAACTATTTTTGCATGTTTTTATTTTATTAGTGCCTGTTTGCCTGAAGCTATGCTGAAGTTAAGACGTCATCAATTTATTTAGAAACACAAACAGCATCTTGATCTGAAAGCAGATGTGCATGGATTATGAGATGATGCATGCTTTGATCTGTTGCTTTCTCTTCATTTGATTGTATAACATCTAGTTTTTAAATGTCTATACGTAAGATTACAGAATCTTTGACCAATCTAAAGTATTTGGATCAAACATTCATTTATGCAAATATTTTTGTTTCTTTTAAACATCCTCAAATGCTGCTTTTGTCTGTCAGAGGAGGGAAAAGTTGTTGCACGGCTCTGAAAACATCCTGATTGAATCCTTGTTTTTGCTGTTTGTGATGTTTCGATGTTTGATTTTGGATCGTTTCATTTGTCACTTAAATGTTAAAGAATAAAGAGCGGTGATTTAAGAAATTTTTTTCTTTTGTTTTCATTAATTAGATCCTCTGTGGAAGAAGTGAAACTTGCTATATACAGTAGGCCAACAAAGCCTTGTTTTGGCTTAGAAAATGTGCAAATTGAACCGAAAACAGGTCATCCCCTTAGTAATGTGGAGATGTTGAGGTCTTTGTTAGCCTGCAATACCCCATACTTACCTACGCTCTGAAAAGGGGGAGTCGTTAGGGTCATTGTTGGCCTGGCTGAGCAGGCGAGATGTCCTGGTCCCCTGTATGGCGATGAGGATTATGATAGCGGGAATGAATCAACTCTATCGCTGTGTTGTAGGTTTTTGAGAGCTGAAACCTAAACCAAAGTCCAGTGGTTTGTTTTTCTACTTTTTTGCAATTTTATTGAAAGGCCAAAGTACAATAATACAAGAATTGTCACTGAAGAGCGACTCGCATTTCATGAAAAGACATACAACAAACCTACAGATTAAATAAAAACAGGCCTTAATAAATTAGTAAAATATAGTTATAAAATCTATTTATCTCTCCCCCCATTCAACCCCTCTAAATAGGGCTACCTAATTGAAGCAGGTTTACGGTTCATTGATCTTCTCTTCCGTTTGTGAAACATTTTGGACTCCATGTTATTTCAAACTCTTCCAGTTCACCATTGAGGAGGTTCTGGATCCTCTCCAGATGCAGGTTATCCTTCATTGCAGAGATTCTGGCTTTTAAAGTCTTTTTTTCAGAGTGAGAAGATGAGTCCAATGGACAGAAGGTCTTCTTACTCTTTCGGATATGCCAACTTTTCTTAGACTCAGAATAACCAAAATTTGATCAAATTTGATCTTAAAAGCATTTGGTAAAGTTTCTCTACAGAAATTCTTGTAGAAATATATGACTGAGAGATAGATCTGCATCTGCATGATTACACTTTCCATAATCTGTTGGTGCAATTAGTAACATTTTATGTAGTTTTATCTTTTAGTAGTGGGATCTGTTTAGAAATCTTTATTATACGAGGCCATATCTGGCATTCAGTGAACATTAGAATATGCTATAAAGACTTTTCTATCAAAGCCCTGAAGTGTAAACCACAACCGCAAATGACTAAACACAACTACTACTTAAAAAAACAAACATTGAATATTAGTAATGTCTGCAATATTCAAAACCACATAAAAGTTTAAAAAGTTAAGTTTTTTAAACTTTTATTTGGTTCCGCTCCCCCTGAAGTCAGACATGTGCACAGATAGACACAAGGTGACGCTAGAGCACCAGCCCTTTTCCCCTCTGGACAACAAAATGCCCTCTTGAAATAAATTTTTTTTTCTGTTTTTTGGGTCTTTTGCCCAAAATACCATTTATGAATTTGGTTAGTTCACAGCATAATTTCTTTAATGGCCTCTACCAGGTGCCAAGGAACAGTTTAAAATGCAACTCTTAGATTAAATTAGAATAAAATGTCATTTAAAGAATGTCATAGATGTAATTATTGATTTGCTGTGATGGTTCCTGTCAGGGACTCCCTGATGACATCTATGGGAACATAAGACTAAATGATCACAGTTCATTAAATTCATCCTTTACTTTAGGTTGTATTCAGTTAAAGTGGGGCGCGTAACACCCGAATTTCCCCATTGCAGTACAATAAAGGGACTTTCAATTCTAGATGAAGCTGCATCTTCAGTTTCTGTGTTTATTGACAGACATCTTGGACTGAAAATACTGACCTGAAAATAAAAACAATTTTCTTAAAAAAAAAAAAAATTCCCTAATCTAAAGAAAAAAAATAAGATCTGTCAGTGGAATGGGAGTTCTTAAACCTTACAATAAGATTATTACATATTATGCACTATTATGGGATTATCATACATTTAAAGACTTATGATAGCAGCTACATTGATACTAGAAGGAAATGTGTTTTACAGTGTAATCTGTTCCCTGCACCTGATAACTCAGAGCAGTGAGTTCATGGAAATCATGTTGTTTTTTCCTATTTCTTTGTGCTCTTGCCTTCAATAGTTTTTTATTTCCATAAATGAAAGATAAAATTGAGAAAAAAAATTGGTCTAGTCTACTGTTATTCAAGTCTTTTTATATATCAGTAGATTTGAAATTGTTAATTATTTAATTCAATGTGGCATTGCTACCTATGGACTGTGGAAGTTCATTCAGCATCAGCATCAGACAGTGTTTGGCTGTTACGGCTCCATGTGACTCTTTTTCTAAGCACCTGCCCCCCAAAATGTCTGTGCATGCCACTGATTCACCTTATTTGTATTGGGCTTGTCTTCCTCTTCCAAAGTCTCAAGCTGCAGTTTCCTACCTGCTCCCCAACACCACAGGATTACCATATAAGGAGCTGCTAGACCTTCCCTGGTCATCATAGGTCATCTTCAGCATTGGCCTTGAGCATTGGGATGTCATTCAAGCTGAACTGCACAGAAAGTGAACACACACCTAGAATTAGTAGTTATTTAAATCAGAAACTAAAAATAAAGAAATTAAACTTCAAAGGCTGTTTTTGTATTCAGTTTTACTGTGAAATATTGCTCTTTTTTTAAACGAATAATTATATAACATATCAGTCAACCCAGAGAAACTTCTCTAAATAATGTGATGCCAAGTGGAGGATTTAGATTGTGGGACTGAGCTCAGATTACAGGCCTGTCCAAAATTAACTCTGAAAGAAAAAGCTTTGCTTTGAATTAGAACATCTGAGTATAAAGGGGGACCTCTAGTGTCAAAAAACAGGTACTGCAGCAGCAGAGATTCTTACGCTGCAGATCCGCAGGAAAAAGGCTCTGTTCGAAATCCTGGGCTGCATCCTCCAAGGACGCGGTCTACCTGGACTGGATCCTTCGAAGTCCGTGAAAAGAAGGAGACCGGAAGTGTTTTGGCGGAACGGTCTACCCTTCGGCGGGTTTTACCTCCGTATCCTCTGTTGCTTAGCAACCGTGAAAGTTGACACGCAAAGCAAGAAAAGAATAAAAACCGAAGTTTTCAAAACTGTTTATTTTTTTATTATCAAGTAAACAAAGACTACATTCACAAGAATCCAGAGTGGAATAAAGGTTCCAACCATCGGGAGCAGGAACAAATAAAATCAAATGTAATGTTAGAAACCTTAGTCAGTTAAATAACCTGCTGCTGTCATTTTGAACATCTCTGATGTTGCTGCTATTTTCAAATATCCATTACTGTAAAAATGTCCATAGCTGCATATTGGTTATTTATTCGCCAGTTTTATATTGTTAAAACACTTTACAGAATTGTATTGTTTGTATTTAACTCTTCCTTATTATGTTATTCTTATACATTTTTCTAAGGTCCTCATTTATGTGACCATTTTCAATAATCTTTCTGCTGCTGTAAATTTGCCCATTGTGGGACAATAAAGGGATTTTCTATTCTATAAAAGGGGTAGAAATATATAAGTAAATCTAAACAATGTATGTATAAAAAATATATCTGCAAAATCTCTAATATTCAACAACAAAAAATACTTAGTTAAGCATATTGTGCAAAACAGCAATAAAAAAATAAACTATCAGATTTATAGTCCCCACCCTGCAGATATATTAGAATCTGTCCTTTAATTCCAGCCAAACCTATTTACACAGTAACATATAAAAACCTTTGGATAAATCAAACATTACCGCCGCTTATCTGACTCAGTAACAATTAAAACAACTATTTTATTCATTTCAGACGGAACTATTCACAGACTTGGATTATATTAAACTGAACTCCAATTTTCACCACTGTCCGGCGGCAACTAACATTTCCTCTGATCATGAAGCAGCCGGCTTGCTTGGTCTCGCAATGAATCCTGGGTAAACCAAGGATACCGAGGATACATCGGACCCGTCCTTCAAATCAGGCAAAAAGAAGGACGCATTTTAAGGCCGCATAACGAGGACTCTTGGAATCCGACCAGACCTCGGCGCCGCGCTATGACGTAATCGTCCTTCGAATCTGGCCTTCTAAGGACGCATCCCAGGTTTTCACACAGAGCAAGAGTCTTGAATGTTGATTCTTTCACAGTATATTATTATCATTATTTTTAATTATTATAATACCACTCTACAGGTGCTGGTCATAAAATTAGAATATCATGAAAAAGTAGATTGATTTCAGTAATTCCATTTAAAGTGAAACTTGTATATTATATTCATACATTACATACAAACTCATATATTTCAGATGTTTATTTTGTTTAATTTTGATGATTACAAATGACAACAAATGAAAATCTCAAATTCATCATATCAGAAAATTAGAATATTGTGAAAAGGTTCAAAATTGATGGCCCCTGGTGCCACACTCTAATCAGCTAATTAACTCAAACCACCTGCAAAAGCCTTTAAATGGTCTTTCAGTCTAGCTCTATAGGCTACACAATCATGGGGAAGACTGCTGACTTGACAGTTGTCCAAAAGACGACCATCGACACCTTGCACAAGGAGGGCAAGACACAAAAGGTCATCGCTAAAGAGGCTGGCTGTTCACAGAGCTCAGTGTCCAAGCACATTAATAGAGAGGCGAAGGGAAGGAAAAGATGTGGTCGAAAAAAGTGTACAAGCAAGAGAGATAACCGCACCCTGGAGAGGATTGTGAAACAAAACCCATTCAAAAATGTGGGGGAGATTCACAAAGAGTGGACTGCAGCTGGAGTGAGTGCTTCAAGAACCACCACACACAGACGTATGAAAGACATGGGTTTCTGCTGTCGCATTCCTTGTGTCAAGCCACTCTTGAACCACAGACAGCGTCAGAAGCGTCTTGCCTGGGCTAAAGAGAAACAGGACTGGACTGCTGGTGAGTGGTCCAAAGTCATGTTCTCTGATGAAAGTAAATTTTGCATTTCCTTTGGAAATCAAGGTCCCAGAGTCTGGAGGAAAAGAAGAGAGGCACTTCATCCACGTTGCTTGAAGTCCAGTGTAAAGTTTCCACAGTCAGTGATGGTTTGGGGTGCCATGTCATCTGCTGGTGTTGGTCCATTGTGTTTTCTGAGGTCCA